AGAGATAGATTTATAGAAGGCGTAAATGGCAACAACGTAGTTATAAAATTGTTGAAAATTTAACATATTGGAGTAAATATAAATTATTGAGATCTTTGTATTTTTTAATCTTTTTTGCTTCAGCTTGGATCAATAAATTTATGTTGGTGTTAGAAGTCAATGATGAGACACAAGTAAATCCCCTATTAAAGATTTATAGAGTCAACTGAATTTTAGTCATTCTATCAGGTCTTATTCCATTCCGTTACTATTTTTTTAATTGTAAAAATAATATTCTACAAATAAAAATATTGGCGCCTTGTTTCTTGCAAGAATTTTAAAATATATCAATTTACTTCACAAAATTGAATATCATATTTAAAATTTTAAGATTGACTCGGCCCGAATAGGCCTGACCCAGGAACAAAATTATTTTTAAAAAATAAGCCCAAGCTTCAGGCATTTGCAGATCTCTAACTTATGGTGTGCTTATAATTTTTAGAAATCATTTGAATATATTATATTCATTAGTATAGTTAGGTTATCGACTTAGTTTAGCCAATTTATTTTGACTAAGGTTAAGCCTGAGCTAGTTTATTTCTAGCCAAGGCTAAGCCCCTTAAACCTGATTTTGATTGGCTACCGCTCTGTAGTAAATCATATAATTTAATTCAAAGGGAGAAAATAAATTGTTATATGTGTCATTTTTTAAACTTTTCCAATCTTTTTTAATGAAAATATAAATAAATTATTTTATAGTTTTTATATTATATAATTATTTTTTATGACCTATATTCGTTTTTTTAATAAGAATAATATAAATTATTACCTATTTTTATTAATAATAATGGAAAAGTTTTATAATAACGATTATGACAATTGTCACCCTTCTGAATTACATTATTATTATTATTGAATTTCCCTAAAATAGATTTAAAATATTCATTTATGTCTAATTTCATTCAAAAACATTGGAAAAGTTAAAATGAGGAATATTAGAATTTTCATCCTTCTGAATCTTATCATTAAATTTACATCAGTTACGGCATGAGAAATTTGGAAGGAGAGAGGATTTTAGAATTTAGTGATGCTATGGATATGATTGTTTGTAATACAATGTTTAAGAAAGAATCAGAGAAGCTGGTGACTTATAAGTCGGGTAGTACCAAAAGTGTTGTGGATTACTTGTTATTAAGGAGATGTGATCGATGTATAATAAAAAATGTGAAAGTGATACCGGGAGAGGAATGTATAAATCAGCATCGACTAGTTGTAGGAGATCTCACTCTTAAAGGTGCCAGGGTCACTAAAAGAAAGTTTGTCCCAAGGCTGAAGGTTTGGAAATTGAAGGAGGAGAATGCTAGACGTCAATTCAATATGGCATTGGCGATTAGGGAGGCGGAGGTGGCACAAGCATCTGGGGTGAATGACAAGTGGGAAGCCATGAAGAAAGCTTGGGTAATGACAACTGAGGAGGTATGTGGATGGACAAAAGGGCCGCCTAGACATAAGGAGACTTGGTGGTGGAGCCCAGAGGTAGCGAAAGCCGTGGATGAGAAACGGAGGTGTTTCAAAGTATGGTATAATAGCAAAGAAAATAGTGATAATGATATTTACAAGATGGCTAAAAGAAATGCTAAGAAATTAATAGCGAAGGCTCAAGAAGAAAAAAGACACGAGTTTGCTAAAGAAATGAAATGCGCTGATGGAATTGGAAATATGGTTAGAATGGCAAAACAGATGTCAAAAAAGAGGCAGGATGTGATAGGTGTAAAGTGTTTGAAAAATATGGAAGGAAAAATGACGATTGATAGTAGTGGTATTAAGAACACCTGGAAGATTTACATGAAAGGACTTTTGAATGAAGAAAATGAATGGAATAATAATATTAGTTGTGCAAAGGTAGAAGGTCCAGGGTGTAAATTTGGCAAGGACGAGATAAGGAGAGCAGTGAAAAAGATGAAGAAAGGGAAGGCATCGGGTTTAACGATGGTGGTATCAGAGATGTTTAAAGGTTCTGATGATTTAGGGATTGAATGGTTAATGAATTTAGCAAATCAGATTGTCACAGAAGGTACTATTCCCGAGGACTGGCGAAGAAGTATAATTATCCCAGTATACAAGGGGAAAGGTGATCCTTTAGATTGTGGGTCTTACAGAGCTATTAAACTCTTGGAACATGCAATGAAAGTATTTGAGAGAGTGTTAGAAAAGCGGATAAGGGAACAAATCAAAATTGATGAAATGCAGTTTGGTTTTACATCGGGAAAAGGCACGACAGATGCAATTTTTGTGGTGAGACAAATTCAGGAGAAGTATCTTGCGAAGGAAAAGAAACTCTATTATGCGTTTGTTGATTTGGAGAAAGCATTTGATAGGGTGCCGCGTGAAATTACAAGATGGGCCTTGAGAAAATCCGGTGTGGAGGAATGGTTAGTTACCGCAGTGATGGCAATGTATGTTGAAGCACAAACAGCAGTACGGACGGATCATGGTGATAGTGACAGCTTTGAGGTGAAGGTAGGACTTCATCAAGGATCCGTGCTGAGTCCATTATTATTTATCTTAGTAATGGATGTGGTGGCTAGAGAAATGCGTGAAGGACTTCCCTGGGAGATATTATATGCAGATGACCTTGTATTAATGGCAAACAGTGAGGGAGAATTGAGGGATAAAGTTAGTAAATGGAAGATGACTATGGAAGCAAAGGGCCTGAAAATGAATGCATCAAAAACAAAGGTGATGATTGGTGGGGAAAATCTAAAGATAGAAGAATCAGGTAAGTGGCCTTGTGGTGTATGTGGGAAAGGAGTTGCTAGAAATTCTATCCAATGTACCAGATGCCAGAAATGGGTACATAAAAGATGTAGTGGGAAAAAAGGCAGTTTGATGTTAGAAAGAATGACCTTTATTTGTAAAACATGCATGAAAGGGATACATAATAATGATAACCTAAAAAATGGTGGTCTGGATATTGGCAATGGGTTAACCCTAGAAAAAGTGGATAAGTTTTGTTATATAGGTGATATGCTAAACGCAGATGGTGGTGTAGATTCTGCTGTTGTTGCAAGGATCAGACAAGCTTGGAAGAAGTTCAGAGAGATGTCATCTATTCTTACAAATAAAAAAGTTTCTCTGAAGTTAAAGGGGAAAGTTTACGTAAGCTGCGTGAGGAGTTGTTTAGTTTATGGCGGTGAAACATGGGCAATGAAAGCAATTCACGAAGCCAAATTAGAAAGAACAGAGATGAGGATGGTTAGATGGATGTGTGGGGTATCTCTGAGAGAGAGAAAAACTAGCAAGGAATTGCGAGCAAGATTAGGTATAGAAATGATTGGTATGGTAATGCGACGAAATAGACTAAGATGGTTTGGGCATGTGGAACGTATGACAAGAGATGACTGGGTAAAGAGATGCACAATGATGGAAGTAGGAGGATCAAGACCTAGAGGAAGACCCAAGATGACGTGGACAAATGTGATAGCGGCGGATATGAGAAGCTTGAATCTTACAAGTATTGATGCTCAGGACCGTCAAAAATGGAAAAGAAAAATCAGAGGGAAAACTGGCCTACCCGGGTAAACCTGGAAATCGCCATAAAACGGAGAAGAAGAAGAAGAAGAGCGTAGCCAGTCAAAATCAGCTAGAGCTTAAACTTAGCTAATCAAAATTAATGCTTAGCCAATCAAAATAGGCTTAAGCTTAGCCAATGAAAATTAGCTTAAGCTTGGTCATTCAAAATTGGCGTAAGCTTAGACAATCAAAATTAGCTTAGGCTTAACCAATCAAAATCGGCTTAAGCTGAGCCTTAGCTAAAATAAAATCGGCCAAGACTTACTTAACCTTAGCCAAAATAAATCGATTTAGGCCTATTCTTAACCAAAAGAAATCAGCTCAGGCATAGTATAAATAGGCTTAGTCTTAACCAATAAAAATCGGATAACCTCATCCAAAAAATACAGGCTCAGGCTTAGCCAAAATAAATCAGCTTATACCTAGCCTTAGGCAAAAAAAAAATTGGCTCAGACTTAGACAAAATAAATTGCTTAGGCTAATCTAACCAAAAAATAGCAGCATAAGATGAGCAAAAGTAAATCGGATCAGGCATAGTCAAAATAAATCGGTTATTACCCAACTATATTCATTAATAGTAGTTCAAAATTCTTAGCACTACTTTTTTTAATGGTAATAAATGGGATATTAAAATATTTAAATATTATTCACTTTAAATTAGTGTTAGAGAATAAACGAAATATTCGATCGGTAAAATCAGAGCACTAATTATAATAATATATTGTAAACCCCTTTATTTTATACAAACTGTTTGACCCAAAAATCTTTCTGGGATTTTTGCTAGGCCGTTCTCTATTATAAAAATCAATGACAAAATCTGGACATTAATATCCTATATTTATTAGGAAATGCTTTCTGGAACGTTGAGATACGTGAAATAAATGCAACGCATTTTTGGCAATGGGAATGGAAAGCAAAAATATTTCTTTTCGAGGTCAACTCCTTTAGCCCAAGAGGGAAAAATGATATAACTTGATTTTGTAAAATTTTGGGTAATAGAACAATATCAATTAAAAAATCTTTCGGAGTAGTTCAGAATTAATAGTGCCAGTTTTTTTATTCCATGAGAGAAAATGAAAAAATAAACAACTTAATTTTGGGGCCGGATAAAAAGTGTTTGGTAATTTGGGAGTATTTTAAAATGAATAGTACCAGTTTTATTACATCCACGAGGGGAAAAAGTCAAACTTTTATACAAACTAAAATAATTGTTTAAAAATAATAATGCATTTTTTGTAGATTGTTGAAAAATTATTTTTATATTAACTCTGAACCAGACTAATATTGTATTCAAACCTGAGCTAGGTCATATTCTATAGGATCAAAAAATTTAAACCAATCAGGTCTTCACTATGAAATTCTCATATGTTATATGGCAAACTTCGAAAGAAACATCTAATAGTAGTTTCACGATATTCTTTACAAAACTATTTCTTATAAAATATTACCGTTATAGTATTGTCAGTTGTCGTGCTCATTGGAATCAGGGAAGTTGGAACAGTCAATGTTGTGAGATCGGCGGCGGATGAGCCATATATTTTAACCATTTTGACCTCTATAATCAGGTGAGCGCATTCCGTTATTTCATTCAACGCCTTGTTTCGCTTGAATAAGTCCACGGAAAAATTTAACGATGTTCTATCGAAAGGAGCTTTAGCTTTTTGAAAAACGTTCGTTAAGGATTCATTCAACGTGATGTACCCTTGGGATTAATATTTTGCAAAATTAAATGTATATCACTTTAAAGAGTTGTATTTATAACAATAATCAATATCAATGTAAGAGGCTAGAGGTCTATAATGAACAAATTTTTAACCCGCCCGCCCAGTTTTAAAACAAACTCTCACCAGCTCAATGCTTAAAAATTATTTGTTCGATTGGTTTGGCTCTTTATCTATTTTATTTTAATATTACTAGCTTAAACAATATGATGCAATATTTTTAATACAATACAAACCCGTTCTGCTCATTTTGTCCAAAAATATTTAAACCAGTTAACTTATAAATACTTTTAATTTTAACCCGCTCTCCCAATGTATAAAATTTTCAACTCGCCTGCTGCAGACCTCAAAACAAGATCTCATCATAACTGATATTCTATACTCATTTTTTTTTTCGAATACGAGGATTTCGTGCCTAACAATTTGATTTGAATAATAAATGAAATTAAGACGAAAAAAACTTGAAATTTCCAGGAAAAAAAGTTGACACCCATTAATTAAGCTCAAATAAAATTACCATCTTTGCCCAGGGTAAAATAGCCCTCGCCGTTTCCATTAGTTATCTCATACTCTGATGAGCTGTCATTAACGCTTTCAGCATTTGGAAAAAGGTCATCTACGTGAATCAGAGCAGACCCAAGAGCCAAGTCCGAAGGTACGCCTAAATAATACTTCAAATAATAGTTGCTTATATGTCGGATAGGAGTGTCAATCAGCGAAAGGGTCATATTAAGATACGTGCTAAGCGATGGATTTCCTAAAATATATACATATATATTTAATTTAAGATATGTTTTAAGTTTCAAAAAACCAGCAAATCTTATAGAAGTCACTCTTTTAAAAAAAATATGATCAATAGTTAGGTATTAACTTTCATATAATTTTTAAAGGATACATTTTAAAAAATATTTTTTTAAATAAACCTGAATCAGTGGCCCTAACTTGAAAACGAATAATTTTATCGGTTTCGGTCAAATTACCGAGTCGTGAAAGGAATGACGAAGCGGAATTATTGATACCTATTATTCCGGAAGAGTGATCGATAGTGAGATGCGGTAAGCTTCCTCTTTGCGGACTCAGGATAGACAGAGTGTATTTAATTTGTGCGTTCTTACCTTAAAAAATATAATTAGTTGGTTTAAATTCTATAAAGGTCTCATCAAGGAGCAACGAGTAAGGAGTTCACCCACAAGTTTGGATATTAGATGTAGAGTTCCCCAATGAAATTTAACTTATAAATCAGAATTTAATCAGCAATAAATTTGACCTAACATGGCTGATCTCATCAAAACACATAATATATATGGCAACGGTTAGTTTATGCTTAAAAAAAATAGGTGTGCTTTTGTTTTAATAAAATTTGAGCGTTGTTTAAAGCTGGCTATTTAATTATAGCCTTAGATTCCCCAAAACTATAAATGAGAACGAAAAAAAATATAAAAAATGATTAATTTGGCAACATGTATAAATATAAACATCGCTGAATCTTGGTTGGCTTTTAAAAATATCAAATTCACAAAAAATGATAGGTGAATAGTATGAGTCAGAGTTGGCAGAAGTGAAGTATATGAGAACAAGAATAAAAATTAATTTCTCCAAAGTGATATTGTTTTTTTATTTGATACTAAAATCTTCCTATGACACTTGGATATAATGAATATTGATCAACTTACAATCCTTTTATTTAAATCAGATAATGATTTCAACTAGGGTTGTACCGATCCACGATTTTTCACCTCTCCGATCTAATATTTATTTCAAACGGCACCGATACCGATATTTACATTGATATTTTTGTATATTTATACAAAATAAGGTAATGGAATAATAAAATCTGCTTATAATTTTTTTTAAAAACATTTAAAAATATTATATCTAGTAAACCAAGATTTTCACATTGGAGCAATTTGCATGGAGGCAGACCTCCAGGACTCATCACTCTTCTTGGAAAATTCAAGCTTCAACATCCTTCGAAGATCGAGAATGCCAAACTCTCCGCATTTTATGTTGCCACCCAACAAGGAGTCACGGCATGAGTTACACGCTTAGCCAGGCTCAATAAAGAATGCAAATTTGGGCATTCAACGTATTATCGAGAATAGTGGCCACGATTTCCAAAGAGATCAGGAGAGCAGTTAGGAGCTTCATGACCATAGAAGACATATATAATCTAGGTCTAGAGAAAGATATTAGGGAGTCAAATGATATCAAAGGCGTGAAGTAGAAGCCATACTTAATAACATTGGCGGGGCTAAAAATAGCCACGAGACCGTAAAACTCAAACAGGACTCCAATGGTCATGGTAAATCTCTTGTAAATTATGATGCTTTCTGCCACGACAAACATTTCGAAACGTTACGATATACGCTACGACAACTGCCGCGACAAACGTTTCAATGTACGCCGCGCTATGACAACTGCAGTGACAAACGTTTCGATGAAGGTTACGATATTCGTCACGACAACCGTTTCGATCAACACTTTGATAATCGTCATTACAACCGCAATCGTTTCGACGACCGTTACACCACGACGATCGATACGACAATCGCGGGTACAACTACTATGACAACCGCCATGACTGTCGTTGTGATTTTAGTCAAAGTTATGATCAACGCGAAAATTACTATAGAAGCGACAATCGAAACAATTATCCACGTCACGGTCATCATAGACATAACCCTCAAAACAGCAATGATTTTCTTAAATATTCGCCTAGGCTCAACCATTACTACAACAATGATAACTATACCAATAACAGATCTTATGATCATAAAGATCGTGACTTTCCGAAGATCATCAATACCATGAACATCGTTGAAATCGATGATGAAGATGTCATAAACACAGACGTCAAAGAGTACAATCTCCAGAATCTGGAGGTGAACAATCTGGGGGTCAATGACACCAGATATAATGCGTATAACATCACTGTGAGCATTAACGATATACCCATGTTGATGCAAGTGGACACCGACACCAGGTACACGATATTACGAGGCACACAGCTATGGCTGTAGGGATAGCCACGACACGCGAGACCGATATTAGGCCGACAGGATACGATGGCAGTGCTATCAAATAGGCCTAGCCAATGTTAACGTGAAATGTGAAGAAACACACAAAAGATGGAAGCCATAGTGGTGGATAGTGATAAGTGCCTCCTGTTAGGAAGTGCATAGCTCCACGCCTTCAATAATATATTAAAAACATTCATTACGGGTAACGTAGACGATAATCTCGATAAGGTGATTTCGACTATGAAAAATGACCTTGAGGTAACACGCTCCACAAACCCAAAATGATTAGGAAAGTGAAGATTCACTTGAAGCATGAAGCTGCACCTAGAATCATACCCCCTAGGAGAGTGCCGTATGCTAGGATTGGTGCAATGACACGCGAGTTGGATGTCTGGTCAAAGGATAACATCATGGAACCTGTATCTCAAGTCAGATTGACAAGTCCACTAACACCTGTTTTCAAGAGAGACGGCATCATGTGGGTATACACTGACTTTAAAGACACCATAAACCCTGCTCTAGAGGATTACCCCTCCCCCCCCCCTACATCAACACCCCAGTCCAAGTCATACCCATCAAGACAAAAAACGAATACTTTCAATCTAAAAAATTAGCTTTTATTTGATACCCATATCTATATTTTGTGTATAAAAATATTCCTGACCCGCAAAGCCTAGACCCGCCATTTATGAGTGATTATTATTATTACAATAAAAAAATATTTTAATTACCTTTTATTTGATACCCATATCAAAAAAAATTATTTTTTACACCCCCCCCCCCCCTCCATTTACCCTCCAGACCAAGTCATACCCATCAAGACCAAGAATGAAGACTTTCAGTCAAAAGGTATTAAAATTAGCTATTATTTGATAAAAATATTCCTGACCCCCCAGACCTAGACTCGTCCATTAAGGGGAAGAGATTGACCTGCAGTTGAATAGATCTTTTGATTAGCTATCGATTGATACCCTATATTAGGCCTATTCAAAAACGAATTCGAATCGAATAATTTACTAATTGAATTCGTACGAATAATAAAATCTACTATTTGTATTCGAATAATTTGAATTAATTTTTTTTAATAAAATAATTCATACTCAAATATGACAAATTTTTTTATTACAAATTTGATTTTAAACGGAAAAAATTATAATAATATATAATCAATAATCTGATAGTATAATAATATATAATCAAGTTATAAACAAAATTAAAATGTATATTATTAATTTAATTTATAATTTAAGTCAATTTTTAAGGCAAAGAGTTTTTCTTATATTTTGTCCTTATATTACAAGCGGTTTTTTGACAATAAATTAGTTCCAACTAAGAAAAGCCTTTCACAAGCAGTTGATGTTCCTTGTATAGATAGATAATCCCTTGCCATTTTCGAGAGTATGGGAATCCGATATGCATTTGCCTTCCACCACATTAACGGGTCAGTATTAGAGGTGGACGCGGGCCGTGAAATTAGGCGTGACCCATCGTGTCACGGTGGGTCACGGCGTGAGTGTGAATAAATTTTAAATTATTAGGCGTGACGTGCCTTCCCAAAATTTTTCCCGGGCGTAAACATGAATTTCCCGTGAATCACGGAAATTTTAATTTTTTTTAAAAAATTTTGAAAACAAAAAATATTCAGGCATTTTATAAACATCTGATGTCACGCTCCTAGTTCTATCTTCTTTTTATGTTTAGATGTTTTGTCGCGAGATTTTTTACTTAAACTTTAAAATTTATTCTCAAGCACTTAAGGTAGGCTTAATTTTAGATCCTAATTTCAAAAGCCTTAAGTTTTAAATAGACGAAGAAAAGGAAGATATTTACAAAACAATCTTAAAAATGTGAAATGATATAAAATTAGATGATATGCATAAGTCAATGCCAACTGTCATTTATAACTTTCCTAATTCATCCTACATTCATAAAAAACCATATATTCTAAATGAAACATTTTTTTAGATGATTCTGATGAAGCATCAACATCTACCGATGAAAGCTGTGTGGAAATAAAAAAAAATAGACATTCTTCTTTTTCTAAGTAAAAATTTGGATTTATAATATGTATTTATTTTTTGTTATTATGGATTATGGAATTAAAGAAATAAATAGAATAAATTCAAAAAAGTGTAAAAAATTATACCATTAAAGTTTTGAAAAATTTAAAAACAGGCGTGAATCAAAATATTGCCTTTCGTGAGGGGGCGGGTCGGGTCGAAAATTTTTTAGTGGTAAGCGTGAATGGGCGAGAATATTATTTATTGCCACCTTGAGCGGGGGTCCGTGAATAAAAAATTAGGCCCGCGCCGACCTCTAGTCACTATCACTCTTTGCTCTTAGTTCACTCAGATAAAAATCTATTTCACACAGTTGAATATTATTTTGTTTAAAAACAATGTCTAGCCTGTTTTGTTGAATTTTATCTTTATTTGTTTGACAGTTATAATTATGAGCTTATAAAATAAAATCATATTTAAATGGGGGTAAATTAAATACCTGTATATCTATTGTAAATCTCTTTAAATTTGTCCATTAACTTGGATACATCAATATCATAATCAACAGATATGATTTAAAATATTCTAATTTAAGCCTGGGATCTAATATTGTGGTTATTATTGCATCATCGGCAGTTAAATTATAATAGCCCAACAATTTATCACATGCTACTTTGAAACTATTGTTAAAGGATTTATGGAAACCAGGTTTTTCATTTTTTAGATGTTCAAGAATTAAAATATAATAAGGTATAACCAAATTATAAGTGGATAAATCTCCCCACATACCATATTTGTAGTTTCTTATAAAGGCAATAGGAGAGCTTTAATTTTTATAAAGTCCTCCCATTCTTCCTATATGTTATCAAAGTATTATATTATTACCTAATTATAAATTTTAGTTTACCTCTGATATTTGTTTTTCTTGAAGAATTTTAATATTAGTTATTACTTCATTAACTAATATTGTTATGGCAGGCTTTATCAATAAGCCCCTTTCAATCATTTGGTAGGTGCTATTCCACCTTATTTCACAATCCAATTTTGGTTTTAAAAAATTTAGGGGAGGGTGTAGGGAACTACATATATTTTTTAATAAATTTAATTTTTTAGGGGAATTACGAATCATTCTAATAATGTTTCTTAGTTTTAGAATTGAAGGATCTAAAATTTTTAAAATTTCTTTGGATATTAAATTAATTACATGGGCAAAGCATCGGATGTGCCCTATTTTTATTAATGGATATTTTAAAGAAAATGTATCAATAAATGTTTTATTATTAGTTGAATTATCTAAAGTCATATAAAAAATTTTATTCTCTAAATTATAATTTTTAATTATTTTAACGAAGGCTTTAAATATATTTTCACCTGAATGTGCTTCATTTATTGGACTGACATCCAAAATTATGTTATTTATTTTAAAATTATCATCAATAAAATGGGCTGTTAGCCCTAAAAAAGGAACCTGTGTTAGGCTAATCCAAATGTCAGATGAAAAATTGATCTGACTTTTATTTTTAGATATTATTTCCTGTACCAACTGTTCTTTTTCTGCAAATGTATTATACATGTGCAATTTAAGAGTATTGGAGCGTACAGAACAATCAAGATCACTTATAAAATTTTTAAAATCATTTGAATTAATAATTTTAAAAGATATATTATTATTTATAAATAATTTTAATAGATTATCCTTAAAATTAATTTTTTTTGAAGAATTTGGTGTAGACTTTAAAAAAATGTCAATTTTATTATTTTTTTTACTAAGGTGTGAATGAAACCTATTATAATGAATAATAAGAGGAGATGTTGTTTTGCCTTTACATTTTATAATACTCTTGCAGTAATTTCAAGCAGCCTTTTCACCGTCTTTAAGGATTTGATATTGATCCCATATGATTGCTCTCTTTTGTGAGGAAATTTTCTCATCTTCAACATCAATCATAATTATCAGAAGCATTCTCCTCTAACATAATTAGGCTAGCTAACATAATTATTGAGATGTAATATATTTTTATATACCTCTGGTTTGTGTAATTTTTAATATAACTTATTATGAGATATTCAAAAATAAACTTTTCGTGAGATTCAAAAAATGTGGCAAATAAAAATTTAAATTTCCACTTCAGAAATTTTTAAATTTGTGCTAGAATTTTTATAAACACAAACACATCACCTGTCAGATTGGCAGGTCAACAAATAGAAATGACAAATGTTAGATTTATTAAACAATTTATTAAATAATTCGAATAATTCGTTTTATTCGAATCGAATAAATGATTATTCGTATTCAGATAAAACAAATAATTTATTATTCGTATTCGTATTCGTAATTATTCGATTAGATTTGAATTATTCGAATCGAATTATTTTTGAATAGGCCTAACCTATATAAGACATAGCTTATTTCATAAAGCCAAAAAAAACAACATTGAAAATTAATAAATAGCAATAAAATTAAAAAGAAATGAAACGAAACGAAACGAAACGCGCGTAAAACGCTTTTTAAAATAAGATTCCTCTTTATCACGATTAAAACATGATAATATCGTATTATCATTCCTTAACTTAAAACCCTAATTTTTTAATTATCCCTTTAAAACCCGTGATGACCCTGTATAGTTCTAATCCCTTTAAAAATTACGACATATATATAATCATAAATTATTTTTTTTTATAAATAATTGTATTAGAATCAATTAACCTTGAAAATAAAGGCAATTAATAATAGGATTAATTGTTATTGAAATTTATTATGATTAATTGATGTATTTATATTGATTTGTAAAAGATATATAAACTGAAGAAATTAATTACAGACATAATAAAATTATTCATTGTTTTCACGATTTTTATAATAATAAATTAATGAAAGGAACTAAAATGCAATTTATTGTTGTAATGTTTTAAAAAAATTATACACTATTTTTTGTTATATTATCTGCAACAAGAAAAGGATTTTAAAATACCTAATGTGTCATATTCAGTTCGTTAAACGGCTCGATTTAGTCAATTTTTAAATCGTTAAACTCAAAATTTTGACCAAAAGTAAATTACTCAAGCTTATTGATTTTGCCCACAGATGGCAGATAGGTTTGAACTTATATTTGCGAAATTTCGAGGCAGGTATTAATATTTTGGCTAATCTATATTTCGCCCTTTTTAAAAACTGGCTAAATAGAACTGTGTTTAACACCACTACATTCACCTATAAATATTGCAAATATTTTAAATGAGATTAACTTTTGGAGAATAAATAAATAAAATACACTTATTCATTCGTGAAAGTTAGTTAATATTGATATTTTTATTATATTGATGCAAAGTTAGATGGTAGATAAAAATTAATATAAATATCAAATCGGTTTTTTTAGCAATATGGGATAGGATCGGTTAAAAATTTGTGGTTCGGCACAGCCTATAAAATCAATAAGCATTTTTATTTTGAAAACTTTTTTGGGGGAATTATGAAGATTTATTACAAGAAAAGGAAATTAGTTTAAAAAAAATATATTAAAAAAATATATATTCATAAAATAGGTAGTAAATTTTTTAAAAAATCGGCTGATCCGATATTTTTCCCTAAAAATTCAATATCAGCACAGATCCGATAGCAATATTTAATATCGGTACAATTCTAATTTCTACTTTAATAAAATTTCTATACCTTAATTTTGATTCATTCATTAACTTTTTCTATTATTATTATCCACCCCATGGCAAAAATTTTCTAATTTGAGAAATTAGCAAAAAAACTAATGAGAAAGAAAACCTGTATCGTGGTCCATGGCGGTGACCTTGGTTATCATCCAGTAAGATTGGTTCGAATGCAGTTCGAATATATTGAGTGGAAAAGTGAAAAACCGCCGGTGCTTGGACGATAGCATGAATAGAGGAGGGTTGTCATTCACGTCTAAAAGATTGATAACTAATTTAGTCAGGCAAAACAGGGAACCCTGGTCCATGACCTTAACTGTGTAGCTATAGTGAGGGATAGTTTCCCTGTCTAACCCTGGACTGATTATCATGATGAGACCTAGAATAAAATTTTTACCGTACAAGCTTTAGAAATCCTAATAATTTTACAATTTTTAAAAGATTATAAAGAAAGTTATTTAAGACCTTGATTGTGATCTATGTTCACGATATGAAAGTTTCGGTCAGAATGAACAATCTGATAGGTTAATTTGCCTATGCTGGTAGAATCAACATCACTAGCGTGTATCATTCCAACGTAAGACTGTGAAGGGATATCCTCGGGTATCCATAGAACTAACTCCTGTCAATTCATTAGAAAATATCATATTTATATCTATTCAGTCGAAAGCTTATGGTTAGATTTTTAATATAAATTTATCTTGCAATAGTGACTTATCTCCAGAAAAATATTTGATTTGAGATGAACGGGCCTTACATTTTTGAGCACATAATTATTATAAAAAAAGAATTATGTTTGATGTAATAACTTGCCTAAATTTTTTGAATAATAGAATATTTAAAAAAATGTTTACTCTTTGATCATATCAAACGCTATTCAATCATTAATAAAAAAAACAAAAATTTTGATTTTTATTCGAATATATTATGCAAAAAAATAATTGTTTTCTTATTATGCTTGTTTGGAAATGGTTTATTGGAAAAATCGATAAAATTTTCATTATTTTGAGCCAAAATAATTTTTAATTGAAAATAAAAATTCAAAAAACCTTATGAAATATTAATATATTGTTTTCATAAAACAAATTTGTTTCCCAAATCTTATTATACCTTTATATTTCTTTAAAAGCTCATGCATGTTAAACATCTATAATAATAAAAAAGTAAACACAGATGAAAAAAAATTAAGGATTCAAACATCCTGGCAAACGGGCGCGTTATCGTTCACATCCAAGACCGTTATGAGTAAATTAGCATGGGCGATGTGTAAACCGTCCGTAACAGATAGGCTTAGGTTATAAGAAGAAACCTTTTCACGGTCCAAACCATGGGAGGCCACGTATAAAGAGCCATCGTTTCCTTTATGGATTAATAATAAGTGTATTAAAAAAAGGTTGTATAAGAAGTCGTATTTATTAAATTTAAAAGAAAATTATCCCTTGGAAAAGTAAGAAAGAAGAACCATAAGATTATATTATATTTATATAGTAGAAAAATCGGGGATTTAGAACATTTGAAAAATTTATATCCTAAAAATTTATGAGAAATTATATATTTTACTTATTAGAAAGTGATTAGAGTGTTTGCCTCTCAAATAAAAGGTCAGTTTATCCGCAACATCGGGATCGATGGCAGTTATTTGTGCAATGGATTTATTACCTGTGACAATGTGAAATACAGTTTAATATATATATGTTAGTGTCAATGTGTTTTTTCCGGCAGTTATTTTTTCAACTTTAAATCATTTTTTGAGTACGTTTTTTTAAATTTAAAAATATGATTTTACCGTGTATTTCAGCATATTTAAACTATTCTTATGTATTGTAGACAATTTTGCCCTTAACCCTTGAGTCATTTATAATTTATATAAAAAATCCAAAAATATTAAAAATTATATTACGTCCGAAGGTTCATCGCGAAATTGTGTGAAATTCATAGGGTAGATATTCCAAACCTGATGGAATACATTTGCGGTAAAATTAGATTTTTAAATTTTAACGCGCTCAAAAAATGATTTATAATTGAAAAAATAACACAGTGTCGTTAACGTATATATCATGAAATTTTCTTTTGCATAATAAAGCGAATCAAATCTAATATATCTTTAAAAAAAATTTGCCAGGCTTATTGAGTATTGATTAATATAACTATCTGAGATTAACTTTGTATATGCCCTTCCATTGAACTAAATCGGTACTCTTTGACGATTTGGCCAGAGGAATCCAAGAAATGAGGGGAATTATCGTTGATATCTACAACGTTAACCAAGAAGTGGGCCCAAATCTTTCGGCCTTTGAAATGCTCCACATCATGATGGGAGTATTTGTGATTAGAAAAAATTTTGTCTTTATTTTCGAAATCATCACCGAAATAAATTACTGTAACGTTGATTATGTACGCTCTTACTCGCTCGCGATCGAGCGTGTAATCGTTGCCATTTCCCCATTCATTCACAAGAGAAGGATCAAAATAGATCAAACCGAGTGTATGATCGATGATTAAACCTTGGGCAAACGAGTCCGCTTTTTCCAGCCTTATTTCAGTATCGTGTGTGAAGACATTTATTTTGCCCATTTTCTTGGCTGGTATGGTGTGGACGGATTCTATAGAGTAGGTAAGGTTGGCTGACTCAGAATTGAGGAGGTCTGCAAAATGGGCCCTAATTTTGAATAACGGCGGAGGCCGAATCGGACAAGACGATCCGTTAACGCGATCTTTCAAATCATAAGCATCTTCATATACGTCTATTTCTTGACAAGTATTTAAAGATTCTGTCAGGTTAGAACTATCTTCATATCCAGGTACCAATCGCTTGAAAATGGGATATCTGGTAAAATTATAAATGGCATCACTATTATTAATTGTCTCACACTCAAAAACTAGTTTAGGTACTGTAGAACTCTTGACCGTCACCATCGCATTGCAATACCGTTTGAGGCTGATTTTATCATAGTGCCTAATTACACCAACTTTGAATAGGTATTCCTGAATTTTTGACCGATCTAAACCTGGGCCTGATGGATTTAACTTAAGATTGCCCTGTGAAGAACCATTAACGTTGTCAATGATGAAAGTATAGAAGGCATTATTAGATTCGACAAAGCCTGGAACCAAGAAATAAGAATAATTTGCGCCAACAGAAGAAACACTAGGTTCGCCTGAGGCAATAGACGAGATATGACCTATGATGGAACCATGGGTGGAGTCTTCCGGAATCATAAAGTGGTAAAAGGGCTTTTTGAGTTTGTTTTCAGTAAATAATTTTTGAATTCCAATATTGATACTTTGAAGAAGAAAAATAAGTATTAGATAGGGCCTAATTGTAAAAATTGCATCAAAACAATATAAAATCAAACCTTTGAGCATCCAAAGTCGGCTTCGTCATTGATATCCTTAACGGACACCGTAATCGGTACATCGTTAAAATCCAACACATTGCGCTTATCCCGAATTCTGGCAGTGAAGCTAATGTCGAAGGACCTTTCTTTCGTTCCCCCTTGATGGAAATATTCCTTCAAGCTTCTCTTGAGCCTAACAATCCCACTAGTCTTATCTATATCCACCCATTTCTCCAAATGAAATGATGACGGCGAATGCGTTTGATTACTAGTGTTTGCCAATACCAGGTACTCCAAGCGGGAAGGGTTTAATTGGGGTAACGGTTCGAGCTATAGGCATAATTTTGAAGCACACAAAAAAAGGATTTAAAATTTGCATAATAGAACTGCTTATTTATTTTCGTAATAACCTTCTGATAATTTTCAGATAGTAATTAATTATTTTTTTAACACTAACCCTCAACAGTTCGGTTCCACCTACTATGAGGTTGCTAACGTCCACGTTGTAATACTTGACAATAAAATTAGGTCTTTCGGGCTTCTCGGTTCTGTTCAAGATGATCAATCTTAAGGTTCCGAACAGATTTACTGGTGAAGGAGTCATATTAACGAGTACAACTAATGACAAAAAAAAGGAGACATTAAAGGAGCCGTGAGTCAAATACAAAAAGGCTGAATAGTCTCCGTTGGTAGGTGAAGGAACGAGTGAAAAATTTATGTCGCGATAGCTAGATATGAGTTTGTACTGAATGCTGGGGTTAGTTGAGTAAGCTAATAAGGGCGTTAAATGAGACGGAATTGATACCTGTTTAAAAGAAAATAATTTTTATAAATGTCTTTTTTCAAGTAATAAACTGTGTTTATGTCCTTTCATTTTGTTCCCATTTTCTTTAAGCTCTTATACTTACAAAAATTTAACGTTGATTAGAGTACGATGCTAGTTCTCGATTTGTATAATCGAAATCAATTAATATATATATACTTATTAGCATATTAAAGAGGGATTTGACTCCCATCCTCCCCACACATTAAATACATAGAGATACACTAATATTGCTTAATTATTGAATCTAAATGGAAAATCACTTTTCCCAAAAGAGTCGGTGAGACAATATTTCCGTTAATGTAAAGCGTTTGTTCGAACGTCAAGGTTCCTAACGATTCCATAAAAGTGTCATTCGGGTCTAAATTTTCGTCCCCACGCTTCAAGACTTCCAAATCGATAAAACTGTAAAATTCCCTTAACGTGAAGGGTCTATCTTTAGTGAGCTGGTTATAACGGAGAGTTAAAACGGCGAAATCATAAAAAAGCCCGTCAAAAACGGTCACGTTTAAAGTGAAGCTATCGAGAAATGGGTATTCGGGTACAATAGCGACATTCAAGAATCCTATCAGAATAAATACAGTTTAAGTGTCGATATATATTCAGGATTATGTAAAAAAATATTTTAATTGAATTATTTAATATTAATAATTATATATCTGGTGACTCAAAAAAACATAGCGTTTTTAAATTTTTGTAATACTAAAACGCATCATCTGTTTTTTAATGTGATAATAGTAGCAGCCAGGTATAATATTTAGATAAAATAATTTTTTATTTAGTTCTTAAATTTCATTATAAAATATAATAATGTAGAAAAATCTTCACATGTAATGAAACAAAATTATTCAAATTTAGCTGAAAATAAGAAATATATTTTAAAAAAACACAAGTAGTTTTTATATTAATTTAAAATCAGTGTTGTTAGGAGCTACTTTTAAAAGTAGCGCGCTATCGCTACCACTAACGTTTCCAAAAAGGTAGCGCTTTCTTTTTATGCTACTTTAGAATTTTTTTAAATTATATATTTTATGCATCTCTATTTCCACAAATAAAAAATATGACAATTTCAGATATATATGTTATGACATTTTTTGGTGTAATCATTAGGAAATTTATGTTGTACATATTAAATCAACCTAAAAAAACTCGATTCTCAACCCGACCTCCTTCGATATTTTAAAAATTTATAACTAATAAAAATTTTAAATCTTACTTTATGAGATAGGCCATCTTTAGAAACCTGAAAATTCCAAAATAGATAATACACATTATTTAATTTTAAATATCTCAATTTAAACTAAAAACTTTATTTAAATCTTATTACTCAATAATAATAACATTTCCATACTGCTATCCCATATCAAGAGTTACGATCAGAAAGTATAAGCTATGGCTTAATAATCGTACTAGCACACGCATGCAGTATTAAATTTAATAGACATATTTTCTCTATAAGAAAAATCATCAAAAATACTCATTTGAGTATTTTTAGATTTAAAAAAAATGCTTCTAAAGGATTTTCAATAGTATTATTATATATTTCAAAAAAATCATCATATTTCTCTAAAAATTGGTTAAAATGTGAAAGGGTGGAAATAAGTATTTTTTTAAGAGTAGGGATTGGGCTACATATTGATAATAAATTTGTTTGATATTACTTTAAAACGTTTCCTTGTTGAAGCTACTAGTCTTGTTTCATTACAAAATCTTCCGGTGCATCTTACAATGAAATTTATACCCTGTGTTAATTATGTTGTAAAAATTAAAATATTTTGCTACTCCAGGAAAAGGAAATTTCATATTACTTCCAGGGAAATTACTTTGTCGATATGATCTGTACCAAAATTATCTTCAATATCAATCTCTATCGTCGACATTTTAAAATTATTATGAAAACTAAATTTATAATGCAGATTTTTAAATATATAATTCAATTTCAAAATTAAATTAAAAGATAACGATTATAGAATTCATTATAAATATATTTTAACAATTTTTATGTGTATTTATTATATAAAATGTAAACCTACTTCGCTACTTTCTAAATAAGTACGAGCTACAGCTATCGTTATTTTTTTCAAAAAGTAGAGCAAAGCTATCGCTACTGAAAAAGTAGCGCGCTACTTTATCAACACTAGTTAAAATATAATATAAATAAGTTAAATAAATTTGTTTACTATAATTTAAATTTATTTTTTTGCAGGAGAGGAGTCAATGCTATTGACAATAAATAAGTTAAATAATATTTTTGTTAAAATTTTGCAAGTTATTTTAACCCTTTAATTTTTACAATTTATGAAATGAATGACAAATAATAAAGTGTTACCTGTTATTGGATCAAGATCAAATATTGCACAATCATTTCCACTCAAAATTCCGTATGCCAATTTGTCGCGGCTTACTATATCTTCGTCCTGAGCTACGAACTGGAATATTACTTGCCCTTCATAGAATAATTAAATATTAATATAGATGATAATGTATGACGGATGGATGCATAGGTATACTAACCATAGAGAATATCGGTTCTGTTTATAAATTGAATCATTAAAATTGATTCGAACCTTTGTCATACAAACCTATTAGAATCATGTATAGAGATACTTTTTTTTAAATTTTTTTTAACTAAAACCCATACATAAAGCAACTAACGTTTATTTCATTAATATAACACACTAGGCCTATTAAATACAAATAGCGTATTATTCGTATTAATTTACTATAATATATTCGTACGATTAATAAAATTTACCATTAGAATATTTTGTTTTTTAAAAAATATATATTATTAAATAATTCATACGAAAATATGTTAACAGATCTTTTTTTTTTAATTTATCATTGCACTACTTATTATCTTATTTAGTCGTCCTAAAAAAGCAAACGAGTTGAATTAAAAATTATGCATATTCTATTTAAGTGTTATGTATGATAATACACCTAAATGATGTAAATTTCAGATTTGCAAATCACAGCCCAGGTCGCGTCTATTTTATAAAAATAATCATGGTTTCGGGCTGGGTCGAACCTAATATTTTTAAAAAAAATTCGGACCGGGCTGGGTCAATATTTTTATTACATTTTATCAGATAAATAGATATATTTTAATATTCTTGCAAAAAAACAAGCACTAATATTTGTTATTTGTAGAATATTATTTTAACAATCAAAAAAATATTATTTTTCTTTATTTAAATAATTTCGGGCTGGGCCGGTAAATAATTTTTATTTATGGATGGGCAGGACAAATTTTTTAAAAATTTTTTAGCCGAGCCGGGCTTGAAAAATTAGGCAATGCAGATTACTTATCATTTTCAAATCCTTTGAGTTTAAAATGTCCTATATTATAATTTATAAAGAGTTCTAATTATAAAAAGTTATCCTTAAAATTCTTATAAATAAATTAATTTGGTTTAAGTTTTAAAAATATTCAATTTAACTGCAACTCTTTTTATTCAGATGTGAATGGAACCTATAAATGTAATGAGATAGTTATTCTTTACATTTTATGTTCCATTGTAATGATTAAAAAAGTTTTTCCATTCCTGTTACTGTATAATATTTGTTCCCTAATGGTTCCTATTTTTGTGAGTACTTTTTGTCAACTTGAACATCTAAGTTAATTAATTCCTAAGAGTCATCCTATTATCCATAATTATGCTAATTTTTTTAATAATAATTCACACAAAATAAAGAATTATATTTTTACCAGAGACCTTCAGGCCTGGCCCTAAGCCCGGGTACACGGGCCTGGCTGTATTTTAATTCTATTCGATTCGTTTTTGAATATACTTATTGCACATACAAATATTCCTAACTTATAAATTGAAGGGTGAGGGGTAATTAGTTTGCGTATATGGTACTAAATATATTTTATTAATATAATTAATTTATATATTTTATAAAAATATTAAAATTTAGGCGAAAAAGAGGTAAATTTGTGAATCATACCTCATAAGATATTCTTAATTTCTGATTCATATATCATCAAATAAGAGAGAAAAGTATGATGATCAGTCTTTCTTGAAGGGCAAAATGAAAAATATATAACTAAAAGTACTAGAGCTCCCGTTAGGCAACATTGCTGAGCCCGTCAAAAATGACGGGGAATGAGAATTTTCTCCTTACTCTTATAATAGTTTTTACCTGTTGAAAATAATATCCAATTCTTATTCTTTATAACCCCTCCCACCTTCAGGCCAGATCCAATCCATTAAAACTAAGTTTAAATGCTATGTTTTGAGTCAAAATATATTTATAGCTTTTACTTGATACCCATATCAATATCATTTGTTAAAATATTATTGATCATGCCTAATTAAAAAAAATTCCCAAGCAAGGTCCAAGGCCATAATAGTTTTGAAAAAATTTCTCTAAGCCCAACCAAAGATCATAATAATTTAGTTGAGAACTTAAATAAAATATTAAAATAATCATAATGAATTTAAAAATACATTCAAAATCAGATTTTTATGGGCCTTGGTTTATTTGTTTTAGGTTAATGTCTGATCCATAGTTAATAATAAAAAAATTCCCAAGCGTCCAAGCTGATAATAATTTGAAAAATTATGTTCAAGCTTAGCCCTATATAATTTATAAAAAAAAAATTCAAGCCCAGCCCGACCCATTATAATTTTAAAAAATCTTTCTCAAACCTGGCCAACCGATAATAATTTTGAAATTGTTTTCTTAAGCCTGGAGCTTCCAATAAAAAAATAAATATTGATATATTTAAATTACTTTATCATAATATAGTTTCATATATAAGAAGAATTGTATTACAAAAATTTAATCTGAAGGGGGCTGACTGGAAAGAATTTATCATAATATAGTTTCATATATAAGAATTGTATTATAAAATTAATCTGTAGGGGGCTGATGGAAAGAACGTTTGCCTATCGAACGTTAAGTCAGTGGTTCGAATCCCGTTTATGTATAAAAAAATTTTTAAAAAAGTTTTCTTTTAAAAAAAAAATTAATTTAACATAGAGGTATGCAGTCTCCTTCTATTTATTTAACATTAAGATGTAGGAAAGTTGATAGAAAAAATTAAGATTATACGAAAACGTCCATTTCTTGATTAGACCATAATGTAAACAATTAGTTTCCTAATATATCCTATGCATATAATTTCTGAGAGAAAATTAGATTTATTTTTTAAGATAACACAACTAAAATATTGTAACAATTTTATATCATTTAACAATAAATTTTATATGAATACTAAACTAAAAATATAAAAAATACTTAATATCTTAAATAAAATATAAGTTTTGAATGTTAACGTAAGAAATAAGAAATAAAAACGTAAGAATATTTTAAAATATAATACTTATTTAAGTTATGAATGCAAGCAAAATAAAACAAATATTTGAATATTCATTCTAACAATATGATCCTCTTTTATCAAATTAATTCACACTACAATCGATCGTTGCTCAACTTAGTTTCATATGTCGTCTATCGTCTTATTGATTGTGGAGCTTGTTTGTTAATGTTCTTCATCAATTTTCAGTCCAAAAAAATTCCTATATTTATCATGTAATATTTCACGTCTTTTATTTTATATTTTGATTATCATGTTTTTTTATTATAGTGTTTATTATTGTTTTATGATTTATTTAAAATTTAAATATTATTTCTTCTATAGCATTTTAATTCTTCCTTTATATTCATTACAAAATTCTCGAATCCTTTAAGTAATATTTTCTTTCTAATAGGTCGTCCTTGATTATCTTGAACTTGAGTTTGCATTTGTTCATCATTTCTTTCTATCTAAAAAATTTTGTGTTTGGTTCTGAATGAAGATTATTACCACGATCTCTTTTTTAGCTGGTTGTCTATAACGTTATTTTTAGTATTTACTTTGTATAATAAATTTTCATCTTTATGTGTTACGACTCCTTTGTCCCACATGTTTTCCTTGAAAGTTTTATGCCACACCTATCTCGATATTTTCATTTAATGATATCTTCCGATTTAATTAATTATCCTTTTTTTCCAAGGGTCTAATTAGATCCCATTTGGTTCAAATTGTTCTTGAAAATATTAATTTACTTGGTATCATGTTAGTTGTCGCATTCGGTGTGTTGCGATAATTAAATAAGAATTTTTCTAAAGCTATGTCTAAGTCTAACCCATTTTCAGATCTCATCATCCTCTCACACTGGCTATTGGGCTGCTAGTGGTGTGGAGCATTAATTACGTGTTTTATTCAATGAACTTCAAAAAATTTTTAAATAAATGGCTTGTAAAATTGGTGCCATTGTCACTAACGATTTTCTCAGGAATTCGAAACAAACTTATGATTTTCATTAACTCTTTAATAGTTGTTTCTGTATGTTCTTCATTCTTTTTATTATTGGGAACTTGCTGTATGAATCAATTAACACCATCCAATTACTTTCTGCAAATTGCGCATAATCAATGTGTACACATTCAAAAATTCTTATTGTTGTTGCCCAAGCATTTTGTATATTATGAGGATTGTCAGCCCATTTGTTGCATGAATCACAATTTTTTAATTCTTGATCTATATCCGTATTAATACCAGACCACTTGGGTAAGCCGTATTTGTGTTTAAAAAAATAAAAAGTTATGATATCATCTATAATAAAAATATCAGACAAAGAATTTCCTCTAAGGAGAATATTACGACGAATGAAGTTTTAAGGTTAAGAGATGAAATGGATGAGGTTTTTTATAAAAGATATTTAATTGCAGTCAAATATCCAAACCAAGTACTACATAAAAGATACGTATGACGAAAACTTTGGCGGCATTATACGAGGCATTCACAAATTTTTTTAAATAAATGGCTTGTAAAATTTGTACCATTGTCACTAATGATTTTCTAAGGAATTCCAAACAAACTTATGATTTTCATTAACTCTTCAATAGTTATGTTCTTCATTTTTTTATGTCCTCGAGTATGTCATAATAAAAGTGCATCCTTTGTTTTGTTTTGTGCTCGTATAAAGCCGCTAAAGTTTTCGTCATACATGTCTTTTATGTTGTACTCGGTTGGATATTTTACTACAATTATTCATATTTTATAAGTTAAAAAATATATTAGAATTTAACATGAGTGTAAACGTTACTTAAACGGCATGGTAGGTGTGTCACCATATAAGTAAAATATAAAATAAAACAAATATTTGATATTTATTTTAACAACAAAGCTGTATAAGAATAATATTTTAAAGATTTTCTTCAGTCAAATATCCATAAGAAAGAATAAATTTCATGGTTGAAAACACTTCTATGCACTAACCAACACCATCAAAATAGCAATGTACAAAAGTATCTAAAAATGAAAATTTTCAAAGAAAATGAAAATCACAAAGTTGGAGATCAAATTTTTTTTATTTTGAAGAGCATTTTAAACTCTGGTTATTATTATATCAAAGGTTCAAACCGGTTGACACACATTTTAGAGGTTCGGTTCAGATGACGGCATTTTTATGGATTCAGGTTACCCAAATAATTATGGTCAAGGCCACAGTGACCATGTTAATCGATAGAATAGGGGTATAATTCTACCTATTTATATAATTTAATTAGGGTTCTCACAATATATCGTAGTTCATTCATATTAATAACTGAAATAAACAAAACAAGCAAATAATTGCTAAAAACTTGGTTTAAATTTATTTTCTATGTAGATTTCGTAATTTTTGGCAGGGAATTGAGGTGGGTTATCATTGACATCCAAAACGCGGACCTCAATTAGAGTGAATGATGACAAACGAGGGATACCCAAATCTTCAGCCACTAGTTTAAAAACGTAAACCCTGTGAAGCTCGTAATCTAAGGTATCGTTGTTATAAACGAGACCCGACTGTTGTTATCGATATTTTATAAAAAAATTAACAAAAAACTAACTTTGTTTCATTATCCTTCATATTGTTTATTAGGTATGCTTAATAATAACATTTTAATCTTACCATTTCTCTAATCCTTTTAATTTATTGAATCATGATAAATGTGCGATAATTAATGAATTTAAGTCTATAAATTTGTATAGAAAGGATTTATAATAACTATTATGATATACAATTAAATCCATTTTACAGAAGAAAGATGAAAATTACAAATTAGCAAAAATCTTTAGAGATTTCTCCCTTAATAAATCGTTAAAAAATTATTTTTATTGACTCGCCTTGTTATCTTCGATAAAAAATGGGAACATTTCAATCCCCAAATTTTCGATATTCGTTTCCCATGGTTCTATCCGATATTCCAGGAAGGAATTGTAATTTGAATCCGAGTCTGAAGCCGTAACGTTGCAAATAATTTGACCCAATTCGTTTGTCTCAAAAATGTGGAATATGTATAAGGCTCTAAATAATTAAGATAGATTTACTAGAATGTTGAGATATAAATATATTATATAAGGATCTGATTTTGGAACTAGCTTAACTTATAATACGATTAGGCATGATAGTAAAGGCATGTGCACTTATTTCTATATAGATTTTGCCTATACTCAATTCATGGCCTCATTTCTTGTTTTAAATATCTTATCTTTTAGAAAATGTCGACACCCTAAGTCTCTCTATTATCATAGATCTCTAAATTGAATTCTTATTTAATTTATATGCTTGTAGCCCAGTCTCAAAAGTCTCCTTTCTTCTTAAGTCCAAAAAATTCGTCATTTTTTTGTCTTTTATTGGATATAGCAATTTCAACTTATTTACGAAAATTATAGGATCTTCAAATTGTTTCTCATCACAAATATATTTAATTTTCAAAAAACATCGTCTGATAAGTTATTTGTTAATAATAGAGCTTTTTATGGGCCTGTAAATTTACAATTTTTAAAGACTATACCGATTTTTTTAAGATATGCCCTCACATTACTTATAAATTTTGGATTAGTATATTTATCCCCTTCACTGGAGACTGAATTATTACTTTTATCGTGATCCATTTAAATTTTATTTTACATAATTATTTCCATTACACATAATTATTACATCGCGTTTAAAATACTCCATTGTCTTCCATGGATTACAAATCTTCCATTTAAATCGTTAGGTCGTGTCCTAGGTCGACTTAATTAATAACCGGCTATTTAGCCATCAGTATTAACTAAATAGCCAAAGAAATATAAAAATAAAAACAAAAGGTGAGAATATAATACGAAAAATAGCAATGCCACCAAATACTTAAAATAAACTAAAATTGGGTGTCTTCGGTCTTGACTTTTTACATACATCTCAATTCAATGATCATATAATTAAGTATAAAAATAGCTATATAAAGTTGATTATTATATTTGGTTTGTACAATAAATTTTATAGAAAATTATTACAAATAATAAATAAATTGTTGTAATCCAAATATTAGGTAAAATTTTAACAATCTATGTTTGTTGAGCTTAGTTAGTAATAACATAATATAAATTAATAATCAATTAATTAATATTAAAAAGAAACATTAGTAAATCAAATTTATTAATTATCGTACCAGGGGTTTATTTAAAATGAATTAAGAACAAGAAATACAATCACAAATGTTGGCTATATTATTTGTAAAATAAATCAATGTATAAAAATATAATAAAATAAATTAATTAAAACTTCGCTTTCACTCTACTTAAACTCAAACAAAAGCGTTTTCACTTTATTTGAAAAAAAAAACAAAGAAAAGCACGTGGTAATGATGTATAGCGTCAAACGACATATTGATATTTTATGCAATTGCATTAAAATCAGGCGCGTACGCAGCGGGGGGGGGCAGGGAGACAAATCCCCCCCCCCCTATCAAAGCCAAAAAATACAGATGCAGGATATATTTTTCAAAAATATTATTGTTTATATTAATTTATATTTGTTAATATTTATTCCTATCTCATATTAAATATTTGATTACATTTATTTATCACATTCATCTACTGAGTTATTTTATCAATTAATTTCGATTTCAAGTTTTCCGGCGTGATATTTACTTATTATTTTCAAATTTTTAGTGGCGTAATATTTATCTACCATTTTCAAATTTCTAGTCAAATAATAATTTCTGAAACTCCTTGTCCAACAGGGAGAAAGAAATTGCAAGCTTGTTCAACGAGATAGAGTCTTCGCCATCAAGCAGTAACAGCTTTTATGGAGTTAAAAGAGCCGATTATTTGCTATTACTGAAATATCACAATGGCCTGAAAGAAATATTTCCTCAGAAGCAAGAAAATTATTGGATTCAATGCTTATTCCAAATTTTTTTTCTCATTAGAAATTGAATTATACAACTATATGTAATACTTTCAAAAACATGACATTGACTTGATTAAGAAGATGAGAATAGCGGAGAGCATATTAGAACTCAAGGAAAATTAGGGCTAATGTTGATGGAATTTCAGATTTTATATGTTATTGTTGAGTCAAAAGCAGAGGTATACGTGTTTAATATTTGTCTCCTTTGACTGCAGCAAGGCAAGCTCATCGTTAAAACATTAATATAGGATCAGTAGAAGAGTATATAATAAAACAAATGTCTCCTCTCTTAGATAAATTTATAACCCAAATGATGAATGGTTTTTAATTCATCATGCAGCACTTACCAATCTGCAGATATTACTTCCACAAAAGCCTTACCAACCATTTTCAGATGGTGATAGAAAAAAAAATATTTGTTAGATTTTTATCATGAAGATGTTAAAGTATCTTATGATGCCTTATTAGCTGAATAACTATAAAATTAACTATTGATATAGTCCCAAAAAATGCCATGGATGCTTTGCATTTCAAACACATTTAAATTATATTCCCAATGTTTTAAAAGGGTTTATATATATTAGCAATTCTTCCCATTAGTAAACTGATGAGAGAACATTTTCTTTTTTAAGAAGAATAACAGAGCCCTGCTGCAGAGGTACCATTTGCAGGGCACGGCCCGGATTTTTTTAAAATTTTTTTACAGCCCGGTTAGGGTTTTTTTTTAAAAATTCAGGCCCTCCCCGGCTTTTTTAAAATAAAATTTTCAGTCTCGGCCCGGATTTTTTTAAAATAAATTATATTTCTTTTTAATTTTTATAGCTAATAATAACGATTTCAAATATAGGCTGTTTTAAAATATACAAGCCGGTCCGCATATTTTTTAAAAAAATTTTCAGGCCCCGCCCGGGTGTTTTTTAAAAAAAAAATCGGGCCCGGCCCGGGTATATTAAAAAAATTAAAATACGGTCCGGCCCGGTGGCCGGGCCTGCAGGTCTCTGAAAAACATATCAAGAAGTACAACTTCTGAAAGTAGATTTTTGAATATTCATAGGTATTTGACGACAAGCAAGGATGAGATAATTGAAAAATTAGCTCAATCCCAATGAAGATTGGATTTTACATGTAAATATATAACATACAAAACACAATTATTCCTAAGAAACTTTTTGTGTATTAATTTATATTTTCAACATTTAAATTTTTTATGTTTAAATTTTAAAAAGGCTCAAAAAATTCAAATTTCTATTTTGGGTCATTTAAGTGATTCATATAGTGGTTATATTCATTTTATATTTTATAATTCGCATTTATTTTATAGTTTTTCTATACCGCCAGTTATATCCGTTTAATATTTTTTAATTCACATTTATTTTATAATATTTTATATGACGGTTTATACATATAATTTTTTTACGTGATACGTGATATTAAGCGCACTAGCCCTAAACGTCGTATATATAGCAAAAGTTATATATACAACAGAGCAACGCTTGGTTCTCCTAAGAAAAAACCCATCAAACTGGGATATAAATGGGAAGATAAATTCACATTAATTTAAAATTGTGTATTAGAAATAGTTATTAGTTCTAATAAATTTATGCTTGATATTTTTAAAAAACAATAATATTTCTTAAAAAATTTTATTATCCCCCCCCCCCCCACAGACCAAATTTCTGCGTACGCGCCTGATTAAAATATAGTAAAAATTCGGAATGTGATATTCAAAAATAGATATCATTAAAAATAAATAAAGATAAATTAATATGAACATAATATTTTTTCTAATCGGCCTCTTTTTTGCTATTTTCCTCTGATCGGCCTCAAAAATCGACATTTTCTCGCGGCCTCGTGGGCAAAATGCCCACCTGGTCTTATATGTCCATTCCGCCCCTGATCAATTTTGCAGCTTATCTTTGGTTTGATATCGTGAGTTGTTCATCTTTGAATTCGTAGCTTCGTCGCTGGATTGCCATCGTTGGTCGTAGTTGGGTTAGTGTTTTGTTGTACATTTTTGATTTGTAACATTGTTATTTTTATCAATTACCTATATTATTATTTTATCCAATGAATCAGAATAAACATACCTATCATAAATAAGAATTGAACACTCATTTTTATACATGCGAGTGTTTTTATATTAGTTCTTTTTATGTTATATTTTTCACGTTTGATAGGCAGATCTTTGTGGAATATGCTGTCTATTACATATCTTTCTAAATGTTTTCTATCTAGTGTTTCTCGGTATGGGTTTTCTATATTAATAGGGTAACCCTTAAAAAGTGTTGGCGTAATTTTGTTTTTATCGGTCTTGGTGTTAATATCTTTATGACTCATATCTCTTTCCTCTCTAAAAAATTTTCCATAGATAAATTGCCATGATCATTGTTAATATTCCTTGTAATGGTCTCGCCTATACTATTTTTAATTTGGTCTAAATGCCTCCTTATAACATTGTCTCCTGCAGTTAGATATTACTCGCACTATTCTTTTTTAATTATCCCCTTTTCGAACTAGTTTCTCCCTATATTTTGTACCATACATTTTCTCCTACATTTAGAATTTCCTTAAGTGATATTGTTGTTATAGCTTTATTATTATGTAAAAATTAAATAAGTTCCATTTAGTTCTTCATGTGTAAGCAAACATGATTTTACGGAATACCCGTTGTGGCATTAGATATATTCCGGTTATCAAGATCTGCAGTCTTTTTATACAAATTTCTTTTCATATTCATTAAAGTTCTGACAATCATTTACACATATTTATTAGATTGTGGGATTAGGCTTATGTTATATTTATTTTATACCATGGTCATAGTAAATTTTATATATAAATAGCTGGTGAAATTGGTAACATCTGAGACAATATGCTCTGATACCCTAAAAATACTATGGTTTTTAGCTCTTTTTATGTGGCCTCCGTTTATAGACTTCACCGGGGTAATTGAAACTTACTATAAGCATCAATCACTATTAATAGACTTCATATTCAACAATCATTTGACCTTTATGTAAAACGTGGAAAATATTATTAAAAACATATATGCATATATAAAAATGAATGTTCAATTCTAATTTATGATAGGAATCTTTACTCTGATTCAACGGATAACGTTACAAGTCAACGATATACAATTTAAGATGGCAAAAACGATGAAGGAAGTCAAAGACAACACCTCGCGATATCAAACCAATGATAAGCTGCAAAATTGACAAGCCAGAACTTATATGATAAACCGATAAAAAGTCGAAATTAAAGAAACAAATCGATATCGATAATGATATAAACAACTCGAATTCGTTCACACCTTTCCAAATAATTAGATTTTCCTAAATTTTGGTTACTTACTTCAAATCACAAATTAATTCTTTTTCTTTTATTTTATTAAATCTTAACTGTTTATCTTAAATAAATCTCTTATTTTATTAATCTTATAATAAATTAAGTTCATTTTAGCTAGTGTTGTTAAATGGTTCAATTTGAGCCATTTTAAAAACCGTTAGCTCAATATTTTACTTAGGAAAATATTACGTAAGCCTGAAGATTGTGCTCATGGATGGCGCAAAGGTTTGGAAATCTATTAGCAAAACCTCAAGGTCTAATTTGTCTAGCTGAAATATTGTTAGCCGTTTTCAAAAATCGGCTCAAATCAATCCGGTTAACAACACTAATTTTAGTTTTCTTTCATTATATTTTTTATAATTTTAAAATATATGTTATTGTTTATTTTATTATTTTCTCTTGTCGCAATATATAAAATCATTTTATTGGATGTATATATTTATTCCTTGCTTTAAGATTAATTTTAGTTAAATTTTAAAAGTAACTATTATTTTTATATTCTAATTTACCTTCCATATGTATAGAATGATTGTGAAAGAATAAAATATATTATACGAATTTTGTATAATCGATATGAATCGATATCCATGGAACTTTATATTATATGTAAAAATATAATAAAAATTACCAAAATATTATTTCGCTTTAACCAGGCCAACATGTGTATCTTCCAAAATTCATTCATAGGCAATTTATCTTAAAAATTTAGAGGTAGACCTTACAACCGACATGTCATATAAAACCACACCACGAAAAAGATCTGTGGAAACAATCAGGCGAGACTACTGAGAGTAAAAAGATTAACACAACCTTTGGAAAATTATGTAATGGAAATAAACACTAGAGATAGAGTATATCGAAAATATGTAGAATATACAATAGCTTATTTTACGGTATAAGTTATAGATAGCGAGTTATTTCCTATCCTTGACTCAAGAAATACTCTTCGAAACAATTTTTATTTTCAAACACACTGGATTTAATTCAACGAAAATTATTTTGAAAAAACAAATTTACTTGGTAAAGGATGGAACATTGTCGTTTACATCTTCGACAGAAACAGATGCGTTTAAATTCCACCAAGCACTGCTTTTAATATGCGTTACTGACACAGTAAAATTGTAATAATTCGTGGTCTCATAATTCAATGGTTTGACTAATGTTAGCCTTCCTAAAAAAAAAGTAAGTTGATATGGTAATAAAAAGATTAAAAATGCACTTTTGATACATTGGTAATCATTTCATAAAAAATGCAGGTAAAAACAATGGATACTCACTCTTTTCATTCATATAAATGTTATGATTCAAGTTAAAAATTACGGTTGTAATTATAAAAGGAATTGTAAATACTTACAAGAGATGAGTAGAAATGCAGAATTAAAATATCTAAAACCTTCAAACTGCTTAATTTAAAAAAACATGTGATAGAAAGAAGAATCAGGTGCAAATAAACTACAAGAATAGTGTAAAGAAAATACTCAAAATAAAATTTAGCCCTTCATGTATGTATAGGATAAGTTAAATAATTTAATATTCAAGCAATAATTAATTAGAAAAGGATTCATAAAACGACAAAATAATGATTATGTTACGATCATCCCTCGATTATAAAAACGACATATAACTACATTTAAAAAATGCAAACCGGTGTAAAAACTCAAGTCGAACTCATCCCCCAAATCGGCTGAAACGAATGAAAACCCATTGTTTATCACTTGGATTTGGTCTTCGATCTCAATATTATCATCGTAAACCGTATTTTTAATGTTATCGTAATAAATGGAGGCGGAAAGATAAGGGACGTTTTCGAAGATAGATGCTAAGAGCCGAAATACGATAGTACCCGTGGGAGAGTTTTCTGGTAATTTTGCCAAAATCCACCCACCATCGAAGCTAAAACTTTCGCAAGATTTTGATGAATTCCCTGATTCTATAAGGTGTTGATATGGGGTGAAGAAGGAATCGCTTATAGGGTCGGTGTCACTTGTAGAAAGTTGAAGATGCAAAGTGAGGTTCAAAAAGCACGACAAAGATGGATCGCCTAAGGGAGAGGGTTTAGATTAAATTAAAGAATTTCAAAAATTGATCGATTTCATATTTTAGCATAAAATTATGTTGTTTAGGGAGTATACGCTTGGACACGATAGAAGGAGATAACACATTGATATAGCAATGACTAATAAAAAAAATTTAATATCAAAAACCTCCATCTTGAGCCTGTACATAAAGATGATATTCCAAATTGCTGTGTACAGCGGTCACATTGTGAACAACGAATGATATCTCCCCAGATTTCGGGTCCACTGAGTAATAGATGCCAGAACTATTTCCGTCAAAATTGATTTGCATACAAGTATCACTTCCATTAACATAGCCGATAGGATCTGCCTCAATCTCTGTTTTCGAATTTTTACAATAACTCGGTACATTATAACCCTGATTAATTATCCGGTATTCTACGATATTGTTGGGGGCACTTACATCGTTGTCTGTTGCCTGAATCTTTTTTTAAAATCGTTGTAAAAATATGAATGCAAGATACTTTTGAGATTTTTATTTTACTAATGGGTTTTGATGGATGGTTATAGTATTAATCGTTAAGTTGATTCATTAATTTATTTTTTATATAATTATGATATTGTTGGGGGCAATTATATCGTTGTCTGTTGCCTGAATCTTTTTTTTAAATCGTCGTAAAAATATGAATGTGAGATATTTTTAAGATTTTTATTTTACTAATGGGTTTTGTGGGTTGGTTATAGTATTAATCATTAATATGATTCATTAGTACTATTTTTTATATAACAACTTATTCCAACATTTGCAAACACAATATTTGTTAACTGGTGACCTTGAAAAATATCTTTTAAAAGGTTAAAAATTTTATCATCGAAAAATCATTATATTGATCTTACAATGCTATAAATAAATATTATAATCATGAATTGCGAATTAAACTAAAGCTACCTTCAAAAATTTGATTTCCTTTTTGTCAAAATATAATAGCGACTTTTTAAGCCTTAAATCGACGATGACCGGAGCATAGGAAGATATTTCTGATCTCAAAAATTCGCCATAATTGAGATCAGTTATTAATTGCATAAATCTGGGTTCAAAAACTGGTGTGTTGTCATTAAGGTCGGACACTGATATCGTTACTTTAGTTTGCCGGCGATAGAGGCTAAAAAATATAAAATATATGTTTGCAATCATTCTTAAATAGGTTTCAATTCTTCATCTGTTTATAAAAAAAGTAATTCCCTAAAATTAATTTCTTTTTTTTAAAAAAAAGAGAATTTATTGCACTTTTTGGTTAAATTTGCCAAGGTAATAAGGGACGAAGGAAACTTTAACGCAACACTAATTATCAGTGTAAATGAACTATGAATTTCTGCATCGAACCCAGTTAGCGCGGAAGAATTGAGAGATAAAACTCCGAATAAGGGATCTTAAAACAAAAATAAATATGGGTTAGATAACGTTATTTAAAAAGCTATAAATAGCAAATCTCGAAAATAATATTTACTGTGAAAATATACAATAATGAAATAAAATGGCTTTTATACTTATTCATTTCTTCTTTTTTAAAAATATTAATTAAATTAGAAATATAAATGTCTGAATCAAACACTCCTCATATTTATAAAAGAAAAATTAGGAAACATTTTATTTTATAATTACAACTCTTGAAAGTTTCACAATTTCAAAGAGCACGATAATATTTATATCAGAATTTTTATTATTTTTTTTTATCATTAAAAATAGTATATTTAGTTATAAGGTTTTAACTAGAGACATGTAAGAGAAAAAAAATTTCGACCAAACCCGATCCGGCTTAAGGAAGAAAAGCATTTACAAGACCTGACCTAAGAATAAACTCCATATTCCAGACCGGAAAATCAAAATATGAAAAAAAATTACTTATTATCTATTAAAATAAGTTATAAGAAATAAAAAATGAACAAAACTGTAAAATAATATAAATATTACTGATTAAATTCAAAACAATAACAAAAATATTCTCAAACCAAACCTCACCCGCTTATAAATTTCTCAACCCGATCCAAACCGAAATAAAAATTAATAAATCCGACCTGTTTTTTTTAGTTTAGCTTGGATTTGCACACCTCTAGTTACAACTTCCTTTTCATCAATTTTACAAGAGAGCTATTTTAAATAATTCTCTATTACCGAAATTTTTTTTATATCTTTTATAAAAAAATTTACCTGACACTCTTTTATCAATTTTTTTTAAAAAAACTATAGTAAAATAACGTTGTTTATTTGTGGTAAAATATCACCAAATTCTCGTTTTTAACTGATTTTTATATTCAATTCATAAAATTATAATTGTTCACCGATAGTAAAGATATTTTCCTTGTCGTTCACCAACGAATAACTGAGAGGTAAGGTTCTAAAGATTGGAAGATTGTCTAGAGTGCTAAATGTCTTGAGTCTTAACAGAGGTTGTTGGGTGAGGTCAGTATTTTCGGAGAATTTTAGGGAGTAATTGGGAAATTCGAAATCCAGCAAGGCGTCATCTTTCAAAGATAGGATCACAATTTTCAAATCGTAAGCTTTTAAAAGAATAATATAGTTAGTTAATGGACATTAGTGTAATGCCTAATAAATGCCCTCAATATCTTTTATATCTTTAAAAAGAAAGAGGTAATTTTTAAAATAAAATTTAACCTATATAATGTTTCGAAACTAAACATAAATTTTCTCACTCTCAATCCGGTTGTAGAGATAAATCGCGAGTTTAAGATTATATATTCCTGAAAGAAAAATTAAATTCTTGCTGTATATGATCCCTCGCGTTTGGTCTATTTCGAACATATCCTCGCCCTGGTTATATGAGTCGATAATCTTGACTTGAGCCATGTAATCGAACCCTTTTTCGGATAATAATTTGCCAATGTCGTAAACTTTCGTTCCAGGGTAAACAGGCCCATAAATAGAGACTCTTGATGTTGTCTCTACATTGTTAATGAAATCATCGCGGCTCTTTGGATGATCAATTACCCGCATTTGGTGTTTCATTGAAACGTTTATGCCTACAATGCCGATGACAAACGATTTGACTAAATGAGCGAGGTGCTCTGGTTTAGGGGGTTCAAATTTCACCAGAACCCTAAACTGAATGCTGGATAGGTACTCTGGAACTATATACCCTCCATGTAATTGTTCGAACATTTTGACCAATCCTGTGAGAGAATCTACAGAGAATATTTGGGCAGGTCCATATAAGTCAACTGGGTGAATACGGTAAGATAGGAAAGGGGTGACCAACGACTTGTAATGATTGTCGTTATCTTTTTCTTTTTTATGGATAGGTTTATGATAATTATCGTTGACAACGTTCCCAGATATGATACAACCCCTGCCAACTGTTCTTGCTAAATACTCTGATACAGTTTGGACTCTGGAACTGCTGAATGGATCAAAAAGTCGTAACTGCCGATCCCCATACCATTCTGCAGTCAAAGATGGAATCCGAAGTAGCCGGTTTAGACGACCCGTTCTAAATCGAATCTTCAGGGCCTTCAACATGGATAAGTCCGGTATAGTTTCAATTTTCACAGTGATTTGAACAGTTTGAGCCCCGAGAGGGATGTTATAGTCGTAGAAGTAAGCTGTAGCTATGATAATTATCGTGAAATGTCGAATGTATAAATAGGGGTTTAACAGTGTACTTAACTCGTCGTTCCGCACACTTTTGCAAAATGGAAGTTCTTTTGGGAGAGAGGATTTTGAGTCAATGAAGGGACTGTCAATGTAAATGGCACCTGTGCGGAAGTTGATATAAAAGTGAAGAGCCTGGTTTCCTATTTAAAAAAATAAAGATTACGATTTTGTATCTTGTAAACTAATTTTTCCTTTTCTTTTCAAAAAATCATGTTAGATAAAATAAAAAATAAATACGGAATATTCATCTACACTTCAATAATTTGTTTAGCCTTTTATAAATATATTTAAGTAATGAAAATTTTTATTAGTACTTAAAAGTTTAAATTAAAATATTATGTAAAAAGAATGAATTATTGAAACCTTCCATTATCCTATATGTGTACATGTTTCCCCCATTTAGTTCGGGTTTATCGCTCAATGATAAAATCAGGGTGTCCTTAGGCGTAGATTCTAACACTTTAACTTTGTATGTATAGGAGCTGCCTATCGCTTTCATCTCGACGTTTGACGCTTGCCCATCTGGAAGGATGTTCAAAAAAACTAATGCGAAATCGGAATCCGTTGTTTCTTGGAAACGAGGGGAAGCGGAAACAATAAGCTGATATCGCGCGAAATAATTGACACGAAAGAGATGACGGGAATTGTTTAAGTTAACCAAGGTTTCCGAATACAGCAGAGATTGAGCTAAGTAGAGCTGGCCGGTCCATGGGTGTAAAGCAAAGAGACCATGATAGTTTCCTTAATAAAAATAATTTATTTTAGTACATTATAGCCAACGATTCTAGATGACAGATTTAAACATAATTGCGAACTATTATTTTGCTCAAGATCAATAATAACCAGGAATATTTGTTTAAAAAACAGAAAATATGATATCAAATAATTAAGATATACCTGATTCTATTGCGAATCTAACAGCACCTATGGTTGAAGTATTAGAACTAAGAGCCAAACGGATCAATTTAGTGCCTACCGGACTATCGGCGGTAAAATTAACCACCAAAACATCTTGCGTTAACATGACGGGGCAACATTTTTGGCCTGGTTTAACTGTTATCAAAACTCGAGCAAAGTCGGGAATATTCGTACCTTTTAGGGATAAATAGTATAAATTAAAATTAGAGATTCGTTCAAAAGGGAATCCTTATAAACGGTAAAATTTAGAATCAATGTTAATTAGATCTCAAAACTGTATGAGGACGCCGAATTTTTCCACTTAAATGATCAGAAATGTGCCGCCCTTTTGTGGTGGCATTACAATAGTGATCTGTATCGGGACTAATTTTTCAAGCCCAGTACGGCCTAAAATTTTGTACAAAAATTAATCCAACCCAATCACGAGTAATATTTTTAAATTTGTCCTAAAAAGCTTGGCCCAAAATAAAAATTATTTGCTAGTTCGGACCGAATGTAATTTAATACAGATTGTTTTTTTCAATATTCTCTCAATGACACAAATGAGTTAAACAAATACAAAATATTGGCGTCTTGTTTCTTGTTAAAATTTTAAAAATATCAATTTTTTAAAACAAATATTAGGCCTGACCCAGCCCGAACCAAATTATTTTTTAAAAGAATCCTTATATCTTTAGTTTGTTTATTTTATTTTTGAATTAAAAATTCCTTGAAATATAAAATTAACAATAATAGCCAGACAATAGAGTGCCAGGACCGGCTTTCTTAGAAAATAAATAATGAAGATATCATTTTAAAAATAAATTTATTTCGAAAATAATTTTTATTGCCCCTCCCTTCCAACTCATTAGATGAACTATTCTTCTTTTAAACTACAAAAATTAATAATAAATCTTAAATTTCTTTTCTGTCTAAATTCCTTTTTTAAAAATTTCTTTTAGGGATTCCATTTAAATGTGTATATTTATTCCAACAATTTAATTTAGAGACATAATATCAGGCGCAAAAGATAGAGAAATAAAATTAATATAATTAATTTTTTATTTTGAAATGGCGAATAAATTATCAATGTTAACAATAGGATATTGGAGCCTACAGAAAAACTTAAATGAAGTTTTGAGAAGAAATTAATAATTTTAATAAATTATTTCATCTTACAAAAATTTTAATAAATTTTTTTTAAACCTTTTGGCTGTTTCAGTAAATTTTTTAGCTAGAATTGTTCCAAAAATCATTTATGATAGTGGTAAAATGGCTATATATTTGATAAGCAAATCATCAAGAAGAAGAAAAAAATAAAGGACTATTTTCATATAGATTTCAATTTTTTAAAACAATATAAATTTTTTAAACTCTAGAATTCCAAGTCTAATGGCATTTCTAATCTATGTTTATTTTTAAATTATCTATTATTACTCTATTCCTATTTTTCTTATCTTCCCATTTTTATGCATATTTATTAAATCAAATGCAATTTATTAATATAACAAAAAATAGCAAAATTAAGTGGATTATTTGAAAAGTTCATTCGGATTTTTAAATCAAAAAAAACTAGCGATGTAAAATAGATAAAGCAATATTAAATATTACGCTAATGATTTATATTTCCACATTACTTTGATCCATTACCCTGACAACTAACAGATGAATAGGTGCCAAAATGGCGTTAAGATTTCTACTGACGTATATAACCCCGGAGTTCGAATGGACAGTGAACCGCGATTTCGATTCCACGTTTAAACTTTAAAATATTTTTTTTTTATTATATATAATTATAAGATTTTATATTAAGATTAAGGAAAGATGTATATTATTATAAACAATAAAATAATGAAAATATTTAGATTTTATTTCTAAAAAATCAGGGCTAATGATTCTAAAGATAAAACAGTCAATTCTTAAAACTGGGATTAAGGTAGACATTTCTCCACTGTTTTATTGAGAGCTATGCCTTTTATTTTAAATCTTATTAAAATCAGAAGTTGCCAGAGCTCATAAGCCATATCTTTCAATAAGGAAAGCCAGTGTTTTTTAGTTAAGGCCAGGATTTTTAATTTATATTTTTCCGGACCACTCATTGGATGTCCCCAAAAAGACATCAATTTATTTACTCTAATCTTTATTAGTTTTTTCGAATTGTTCAATCTTTGAGCAAATAAAATATTATATTTTTTTATATTTAAAAAAAATTGAAATAAATCCGAATAATTAAAAACTAGTTGTATATGGAATATGTAAGCCCGTTATTGGGGTCAGAATCCTTTGTCAGGAGTCGTAAAATCGAACTATTTATAGGAACGTCTTCTCCGATTTCTATTCTGTAGAAGTGATTTTCGAAAATTGGGAAAGTGTCATTGATACAATCGACGCTAACGCGGAACTTCAAAGTATAAGTTTAAATATTGTATTTTAAAAAAGAAGAGACAATTTGCGATAAAAAAATATTTTTATCATTTCCGACACACATGACCAATAAAAACTCCTTACTTCGATAGATTTACAATTCTAATTTAATTTTCGTTAGCCTAAATGTATCAATGTATAACTGTCCATAGACTTATGCTGCGTTTATATTAAACGCGTTATCTTCAATGTTGCGTTATTTAACGTAGCGTTATCACAGCTGATTCAGTTTTAAAAACTAATTTAGGACAAAGATAAAATAAAGATAATTATCTTATTAATATTTAAAAAAAATTATATACCTTTTTACATTGGCTATTATTTTTATAATTGCATAGCATATTTTTTAATCAACGCATCGCAACATATGTTTTTATCATAGCGTTATTATCATAACGCTTCATATTTATAAATTTATACCTATTTATTGGCTTTATTTTGTAATAATGCTGCGTTAAATAACGCAACGCTTGAACATAAGACGTTTACTATAAATGAGGCCTTAGATAGATTCAAAATTTTTTTAATTTTATAACTTCGGATTGATAAATCTTGAACCCATCGGTGATGTAAAATAAAAACGGTCTTGATTCACACGCGAGCCTATCATTCTTAAGGTGCGACTGAGTTAAAACGATCGCGTCCACTTGATTGTTAAAGTAAAAGCCCGTGTTGGACGGGATTTTATCCGGCTGTTCGATATTACCAGAATTGGCGTTACCGAACCAAGCCCAATAGACCTTTGGACCGGAATCAAGAAATAGGCCTGAGATGGCTAACGGAATCTGGATCGTGTCTCCGACTTTTGTAGATTTGGATAAGGATATCTGTTTTAATAAAAAAAAATATGGAGATTGTCTGTAAGGAGCAGGTTAAAACTTATCTATTCTATTGTTCCATCTTGATTTAATAAAAAAAATTTGTTATTATAAATATACTTTTATCGGCCATTCTAAATCTAAGCTATTTTTTAAAAAAAATAAAGATTCCATTTTTAATATAGCACTTTAATTCAAAAGGGACGCTATTTTATAATAAATTTGGTTACGTTGTAATAGGGAAGGAGACGCGGTTCCGTTGCGCTGATCATAGATGGATCCATTAGAACCGTTCTGACTATATAACGGGAGTGCGTATACAAACTTGGGGCCACTGGGTTGAATGCCTTTATCTGGTAGGAGAAAAATATAATAAGTATTGTCAAAACGCGGTATGAAAACATAGTTGGAATACATTTTAAATTAATTTTGTCTCATGAAGAGGATTATTAAAAATAATAAATTATAGGGGAGTACTAATGGATGATATGGGCAGAGACCTGCAGGCCCGGCCCGGGCCGTATTTTAAATTTTTTAAATATACCCGGGCCAGGCCGGGCCTAAAAAAATTTTTTTTAAATATATCCGGCTGGGCCGGGCTTAAGATTGTTAAACCCGGGCCGGGCCTTAATATTTTTTATAAAAATTTTTATTATGAGTTAATGGTTATAAGATTATATTATATTATAGTTATGATTAATATGATGGTTAACACTACCTAACAACCCACAGATCGATCTAATTATTAATTTCCTGCAAATTTATTCAAAGTATTAATATATTTTTTTATAATTCATATCTAAATTTTTACAACATATTTTACCAAAACAATCAAATAAAGGAATATCTTAAAAAAGCCCCAATATTCAAGTATTATTAATTTATTTTTTTATAATTCATATCTAAATTTTTACAACATATTTTACCAAAACAATCAAATAAATGAATAGCCCCAATATTCAAGTATTATTAATATATTTTTTTATAATTCAAATCTAAATTTTTAGAATATATTTTACCAAAACAATCAAATAAAGGATTATCACTTCTTAAAGTTTGTAATTGATTTTAATAATAAAGCATTTTTTAATTGAAAAATTTGTTTTACACAAGTATCATTTTATTTCTCTTTTTCTCTGTCCCAAATTTAAGCAATTACGTATGTAGTCAGGGACAGATCGCAAAATGACGGAAAACTATATAAAAGATTATATTAAATTACAAGAGGCTCAGGAAGTAAATGAAATACCATCGACCAGTCAAATTACGACTGTTGTTAAACAAAATGAATCGTTTTATGACAAATGGGGCGATGGTAATTCTGGTTATGTCAATACCCGATGATGAATATTATAATTACATAAATAATAGATAAAACACTCAAGGTGGATAATTTGTTAGAGTGGTGGGCGGCTCATCAAAGCGAATTTCCAATTTTAGCAAAATTGGCAATTCCTGCTTTAAGTGCAAGCTGTGAGCGAAATTTTTTCACTACTGGGAGAATTCTTGAAGAAAGAAGAAGTAATCTTCATCCTGAAAAGGTAGATATGCTTCTCTTTCTTCATGATAATTTGTGAATTTTTAATATCCTTCTTGAGTATAGGGTTTCGTCAATCATGCTGGTTTTTTACTTTGCAAACTGTCAAATATTTATTGCATTTATTATATTTACCTTGAGTCATGAAAGTTTTTAATCCAACATTTTTCATTATTTTTTTTTACAATATTATATAATACAATTATCTTCTTTTGTTAAAAATTTATATTTTAAAATAAATTATATTAATATTGTGCAATTAGATTATATTTTCAAAATACTATTTATTATAATGCATTTTTTTTAAATAGCGATTTATTATTATTTTATAAATTAAATAGTAAATTAAATACAATATATTATATTCTCAAAATATTTTCCATTTTTATAAATTAAATATTAGTTTTATTTTTTTTAAATGCAATATAAAATATAGTATATGCTCAAAATATTATTACCATTTTTATGAATATTAGTTTTATTTTTATAAATGCAATATAAAATATAGTATATGCTCAAAATATCCATTTTTATAAATAACAGTTTTATAATTTTTATAAATTCAATATAATATTCTCAAAATATTAGCTTTTTACATGCACTTTAAATAATAAGCGATAATACTCGCTGAAAAATATGGTAAAATACCTCATAGGTGAATTTTTGTATATACCAGGTCGAATATAATTTTAAAAAATTCCGAGCCGGGCCTGAAATTTTTAAATCCGGGCCGGGCCGGGCAGTAAAAAATTTTTTTAAAAAATATCCGGGCCGGGCCTTAAATTTTTAAATCACTACGGTGATTTAGATTTCTTAATAAAACGTCTTCAAATATGGACTGCACCCAACAATTATGGTATTAATAAACTACCACGAAATTAAAATGGAATATGATACATGTTCAGCAGTAACCATCATTAATGCAACAATATGGAATAAAATTGGGAGGCCAAAACTTAGAATGGTTAGAGCTCCAACTACATAAGGAAACAATACAATAAAAATTATGGGAGAAGCTTATGTAAAAATTCAATTAGATGATAAAATAAAATGGTTTCCTTTATTAGTTACAAAAACAAATGATGCAGCGCTATTTGGATTTCCATGGACTATGGGATTTGATCTATCATTACCAACAAAGGTAAAAGTCAATATGATCAGCAATAAATATAATAATAATGGTAAAACATGAATATTGTAAAACTATATCAAGAATTTGCTATTGTGTTTGATAGAACCAGTAAAACTACAATTAGAAGAAAGTACAAAACCAATAGCTCTACCAGCAAAAAGAGTACCGTTGCCTTTAAAAGTAGAAATTGAAGATGAACTGAAACGTTTGGTAGAAGAGTGGTCTAACTTAAGTGGAAGGGTGTTGTAATATTTAGATGAAAACGAAAAATGTATTATTCAAATTATAAGAATTATTACAATATTATTTAAGGTTAAGACTATGTAAATGATAATTAAAGAAGATATATAATTGAGATTTTGTGAATATTGTACCAATTTCCAATTTTTGGTAAAGTATTCTTTCTTAATTTTTATTTCGTTTTAACCCATTACCTTTTAAATTTTATTAATTATGTAATAAAGTGATAGTAAAATTATTTCATTTATATGTTTATATATATTCTGATTACTAAAGATAGTCGTTTAGTGGTTGGTAGGAATAGTTCAATTCAAATGATAGTAAGAAGAGGATGGCGCCAATATAATTTAATGCAATTGATGCCACTATTATAAGAAATCTTGATAATTCTTTGTTTTAGTTTGTCCTAACAGTGACTTCAAGGATATATTTTTAAAATAATACCAATATTTGATGACAAAATAATAGATTATTTGTCCATTATGTAACCAAACAAAACTAATCACTAAATTTGCTAAAACAAAAATCCATCTACATGGTAAAGTAAATTAATATCGACATGGTTTATTAAACCATTCTCATATCATCCAACACACTCAACCTAAATTAAATCATTTATTATCTAGCATCCCCAAAACTATATCTCTTTCTTTCACATTCACTTAACACTAGAACGGGTTAGAACTCAACACCTTAGACAACAAACGTCCAGATCGAATACAACGCTCAATCCATGGGCTAAAGGACAACCTTTTATTTGGGACTATACTAGTATGGACTCTTTCGCTAAGCTTGACCCTGTATGTCCTTAGCTTCGGTGAAAGGCTATATTATCCATACTTTTAAGAAATTAAATTAAAGCGAAGAGTGATAATAGAAATACTATTTATACCGACAATTCAGTACATGATAAAAACTCACATCCAACAAAAATTTTCGGGGCTCGGTCGGCAAAGGATCGGTAATGTAAACTCTCCCAGTAGTTATATCCAAGAGAAAGCTGGTTCCATCGATGGTCACAATTTGCGAACTTTCATGCTCTTTTACTGACCCTACGTCCCCGTTATGGATTAGGGGGCCAGTGCCTTTATAGAAACCATATTGAATACGTGCGTTTTCATCTGTGTCGGGGTCCAGGGCTAACGCTTGGAAAATGGGGAATCTTTTATAAAACTTGTAGTAAAAAAAACGAAATAAATTTTAGAATGTGGAAAAATAGATTATAATAAGCTATTATCAAAATTCTATTATTCAGGTCTATGATCATTAACAAATTCTCAGGCTTGCCATTTGAGTTATCAAATATATCTTGTACCGGTTTCCATTGTTCTGCGCATATTATCAATAGGAACTGATAAAAACTATAATAATTCTTTTTAAAGAATTAAGAAACCAGAATTTGTAGCTTGTATTACAACTTGCGTAATGATGGTAAAAATATATTGATTATAAATTTACTACCTAAATGAGTTTGTTTATTAAAAATACAAAATATTTTTTAAAACTTATAAATTTTTATGAAAAGATCATCCAATTCAAAGATTCTTCTCTTATGTAATGTATTTAAATAAATTGATTTTTTATATTCGCTTAAAGATACAATTTATTTACAATTTATAAAAATAGAAAAACATATATATATAGCTGATAATATTATATTAAATCATTACAATAAATTAATCAAATCATTTCATTTGGCGACGACGATTTATTTTTCAAGTCATTTTTGACGACGACGAATTATTTAAAATAAAAAGATTAAAATTATACCATGCCTCTGAAGAAGATTGAAGAACATACTCAATTTCATATTCCAGAATTTGTCAAAGAAAAAGTTAATATTCAGGATTACCTATATAATATACAACTCATTTACAAGGTAAAAAATATTTTCGATGAAAATTAAAAAAATGGATCTTTTATTGGCCTATATAGGCACCGAAAATTTAATTAAAATTAAAAAATTTTTATTTTCCAAATATTTTAAATAATATAATTTATTTAACTTTAATCGAGAATCTAGAAAAAATTTTTAAGGATGTCTCTAGCATTTTTCTTTATAGGAATAATTTTTTTACATTAAAAAGAAATAACGAAAGTATAATTGACTTTTCAATTAAATTAAAAAGCATTTGCGCTTTATGTAATTTTAAATCGCCGGTTGATGAACTCTTAAGGGATATTTTCATCTTAGAAGTAGGGTTACCCGAGCTGGACAAAGAATTTAGGTCAAAATATGCCGAAGGAAATATTACTTTTGAAGATACTGTGCGTCTAGCTATCGCGCTGTCTTCATTGGAGAAGGAAACCCTGACAGAAGTTAATAAAATAATTAAACATAAGCCTATGCAAGTTTCCAAAAATACTTATTCTAGGAATAATTATAACAACGTAAACAAATTCAATAATAATTATAATGCTAACAAATTCAACAATAATTTTTATAAACCAAGTTTTAAACCTAATTTCAGTCAAAAAAAAGTAATGCTTAAGATGCGAAAAAGCAAACCACATAGCGAAAGAGTGTTGTAGAACGCATGTACAAATGATTTTACCACGGACACCTCGCCTGTCTTTTGCTAATAAAGCTACAATCGATGCGAAGATAAATGGACTGCAGCTTACTATGGAATTCGATACTGGGGTGCGTATAGTGTGATAGACGAGGTTACCTGGAGTCGCATAGGCAAACCAACATTATCACCTGCTTATAAACTAGTAGGATATAACCATATCAAAATCGAAGTATTGGGTAAATGTCTAGTGGAAGTCGAAGTAAAAAATATTTCAAAATTTTTACCTATTTGGGTAGTTAAGGGTGAGAATTCCCTCATTTTTGGAATGCCTTTTCTTAAAGAATTTGATATAAAACTTCCTGAAGAAGTTCGTATTAACAATATAAATATGAAAGATTCCAGTTTAAATACGATTGTTTCAAAATTTCCGCACGTTTTTAAAAAAAAATTAGGACAAATAAAATTAAAGGAAGCCGTCATAAAGAATACAGTGTCAATATCGTTACCATCTAGAAGAATTCCATTTCCGTTGCGTCGAACCGTTGAAGCTGAGTTGGACAGACTTTTAAATGAAGGCGTTATCGAGAAGGTAGATCCAACAAAGACTCCAATTACTTGGGCTACGCCAACGGTTAATATTTTAAAGAAATCCGGTGCCGTGCGGATATACGGAGATTTTCGTTTAACAATCAACAAATATTTAGCGATAGATAACGATTTACTACCAACTTTCGTTGACCTGACAAATAGGATCGCGGGTGGTAAAATATTTTCAACGATAGATTTAAGAGATGCATTTTTACAATTCGGAGTTAGTCCAGAATGTAGAGACCTTTTAGTAATTTCGACTCATGTCGGTTATTACCGATATCAAAGAATTCCTTTTGGGTTGACTAGCGTTCCGATAATATTTCAACGTTTTATGCAAAACCTATTAAAGAAAATTCCTATGGTTAGTGTATTTTTAGACGATGTAATTATTGCAGGCGAGAATAATTTTGATCATATAGTTAATCTAGAAGAAGTATTAAGAAGATTTGATAAGGCTCGACTGACAACTACGACCGATAAAATTAAAATTGGAGAAAAATCAGTTACTTATTTAGGTCATGTTATTGATGAATTCGGAATTCACCCGACCGAAGATAAGATTAATGCTATAAAAAATTGTAAAACACCATCTAATGTTAAAGAATTAAGTTCGTTTTGGGAATGGTAAATTATCATGAATCGTTTATTAAAAATTTACATTCTATTTGTGCGCCTTTACACCGACTAACGAGTAAAAATGTGAGTTGGTTTTGGTCAGCTAAAGAAGATGAAATATTTAATGTAGTTAAAAAAATATTACCAAAAGAAGATACAATAATTCCTTATTCAGCCGATATTCCTGTCGTAATTTCTTGTGACGCTTCCGAAGATGGTCTGGGAGCTGTTATTGCACACCGATTTCTTACTGGCCAGGAGAAACCGATTGCTAATCGAGGACACTTTCAGCAGCTGAAAAGAATTACGCCACTATTGATCGGGAGACTTCGCCGATCATGTTCGATATCGAGAAGTTTCATCAGTACATTTATGGAAGACATTTTATTTTGGTTACTGATCATAAACCTTTAAAATATATCTTGGTGATAAAAGAGACCTTAATAAGATAACAAATAACCGTTTAAAACGGTGGGTCACGAAGCTTTTAAATTACGACTATGAGATAATTCATAGGCTGGGTAATCAAAACAAATGCGCCGACGCTCTGTCCCGTTTGGGGGTAGAGAGAGAAAAAATGAAGAAGTTAAAAAAAAATTTGAAAATGAAATTAGAGAAGTAAGGATCAATTTAATTGAAGATTTATCGTTCACTCGAAGTAAAGTTATTAGTGAAACGATCAATGATATAAATCTAAAAGAGATTGCTAAATTAATAAAAAAATCATTGGCATATGGATAATATAAATAATTATTCGGAAAGTTTAAAAAAATTCATCTTAATTAAAGATAATATTTCTTTCGAAGAAGGGCTTTTATTTTATAATGATAGAATCATCATTCCTGATAACCTAAAAAAAGGAGGTTTTGAATGTTATCCATCGAGGACATCCGGGAATAGTAGGGATGAAATCCTTATGCCGATACTATGCCTTCTGGACAAATCTTGACCGAGATGTTGGAGAATTAGTAAAAAACTGCAAAAGTTGTCAGGAAGGAAGACCGGGAGCCAGAGATGTACCATTATACAATTGGAATATTCGTACCCGACCTTAGGAAAGAATACACATTGATTTGACAGGTCCCGTGTCTGGAAAGTACTGGTTAATTTGCGTAGACGCTTTCACCAAATGGGTTGAAGTTGCAATTTTAACACATATTAATTCGACGAGTGTAATAAATAATCTGCGTAATTATTTCGCTAGATTTGGTTTACCACGTTACATTGTATCAGATAACGGTACTCAGTTTACTGGATCTGAATTCAAAACGTTTCTTTTTAAAATAATATAAAAATTTTAGATCGGCCCCTTTTAGCCCCAAGTCGAATGGTTTGGCTGAGCGCTATATACGTACGATAAAGACGCGTTTCTATGCTGGAAGGAGAAATGGGACTCCGGAACAGTTAAATTTAGCGAATGTTTTAATTACACACCGAAATACTCCAAACACAACTACCGGTAAATCCCCTGTCGAAATGATGTTTGGAAGGCCGCTCAGGACGACGTTAGATCAGTGGAAATTATCTACGAGAGAAAGGACTGAAAACGCGTTATGGAAACAAAAAAATTATAATGATAGGAACGTTGAGCCCCGTGAATTTAAAGAGAAGCAAAAAGTTTGGGTAAAAAACGAAAGGACTGCGGGATGGCATGAAGGAACAGTGGTTCAACGGAAAAGTGCGATATTGTATGATGGAGTCTGAGGGTATTGTAAAAAACAAGCATGCCGACCAACTGAGGGAAGCTCATGTACAAGCTAAAGAAACACCCATGACAATGACTGAGGATTTGGACATTGCAGAACATAATGGAAATACAACTCTAGAAAAAAGAGTTTCGAAACCCCCATTACGTTATTATGATGAATTCAATTTATAGTGGGGAGAACTGTAATGTATTTAAATAAATTGATTTTTTATATTCGCTTACAGATACAATTTATTTACAATTTATAAAAATAGAAAAACATATATATATAGCTGATAATATTATATTAAATCACTTTACAATAAATTAATCAAATCATTTCACCTTACATTTCCAGATTTTTTATTGATCATAAAAACTAACAATCCCCCCTCCCCTCTTCAAAAAAATAAAATAAAAATTTCAATAGTAAGTGACAAATACGATTTAAAAAATAATAATAAAATTCAATTTGATCAGATTTTTTATTATTGAAAAACTAAATTTATTACAAATATTTTCCTTTCGCGATGAGATTATTATTGAAATTATAAAAAACATGTTTTTAAAAAAATTTATATCGATTTTCATTAAAAAACGTTAATAAATTATTTTCTTATATTTTTACTTTGGCTTCTATGATAGGCGTCTTGATGGTGTAAATCTTTTGGGTCATTTGTGGTACATTGTCGTTTTCGTCAATCAAGGTCACGTAAACCCTCGTTTTAGAGTTGATGGATAGATCGTTTAAATTTTTAATAAAAACCTAACAGGTAAAAAAAATATATCAATATCAACATTGCTATTTTGGACAAAAATTATGAAATAGGTCTTGGCTACTTAACGTAAGGCTGAATTGACCCTAACCTTTTTAAAATCGAGCTGGATCGCTAAAAAACCAATTGCAGAGCTCTAACTCTTATATTAGAGGTCCATTTAGAATTAAGATAATTGGGTTATCGAAACAAGGATGGAAAAACCAACGGGTACAAAAAACATTCTATAATCAGCCTTTTATTTAGTTCCTATTTTAATATTATTACGTGATACGGTTATTATTCATATTAATTATGAAAAAACTGAAACATTAATTTGTAATTGCAAGGGTTCCTACCGTGAAAGAATAAAGCGATTTCGTTTCCCGGTCTAGTGGGTTTTCATTGACAAATTCGCTAATCACAATTATGCCTAAAATGAACAATACATTAAATAAAATAGTATTATAAAGGGAAGAGATGGTAAAACAATAAAATTATTAATGAAAAACCAAAGACTCGTAGAAGTATTATTTGCACGGCCCGGCTCAAATTTTTTTACAAAATATTTCCGGCCCGGATTTTTTATTTTCTTAGCTAATAATGGCGATTTAAAATTTTCGGTTTTAAATTATACGGCACGGCCCGGGTATTTTTTTTAAAAAAATTTCTGCCGAGCTAGGTATTTTTTTTTAAAAATTTTTATACAACCCGACCTGGAGGTATCTGATTAAAATATTTAAAATATGTAAGTAGTTCTGAATCTGAGAAATAAAAATATTTTTAAAATTTTTCTCAAAATTACCGTTTTGTAAAATGGCGAAATATTTGGAATCGGAACCCCAGAGGGAAAATTTATGGTTGTTGGACGGTGATGACTGGTTGAATGAGGATTCAATCCCTTCCTCTCCTTCGTACAAATAATATAGAACCGGAACGACGGTTATAATGGTAACGAAGGTATCGGGCGGAGAGTTCTCATGTATCCTGGCTACATAATGAGTTTCCTTTGCCACGATAGTGTCTTCGAAATCGGGCGATTTTCTTTTAGCCGAGAATTTCAACGTTATTGGCAAATATGTATCGCGGATTAGATTGGCTTTAGGGTATTTTTCTCCTTTTATATTGTCTCGTGCTCGAGCGATAAGGCCCAACGATGTGATGATAGGTAAATGATATCGGCCCCGCTGCTTTAAGTTACAAGTTTCTGGTGAGGTCAGCAGAGAAATTAACTGTTTAGAGGAGGACATTTTTCTAACTTTGATTTCGCCTAGTTGTGAAAGTAAATAAATATTTGAATTTTGTAGATTACTTTATTTATACAAATCTTGAGAAAATTAGTGATTGAATGCCAAAACAAAAACCTATAATTTTAGCCCAAATTTAGGATCGCTCTTACAACAGATTTATCTCTTCTTGTTGTATATCCAAATTGTTTTTTAAGTTTTATTATTCTTCTTAAATTAGATTACGTAATTTTTTTAAAATATTGATGCCTAATCACGAAAATATAAAAAAGTTTTTGAGAGGATGATAAAATATGGTCTGACACCTGACTTTTTGAAAACGTTCAATTTTTATTTTAGGACAAGGATGAGGAAGGCTTACATCCTAATCAGACAAAATTAAATCCATAATCAACATACCAGAGCATAAATTAGTTGATGAATTTTATATATTCTCGCTCTTTCACAAGAAATTTACCGGACGATGAATATATTAGGAAGTTTTTTAACAAATTGTGAACTTGATAAAGTTGATCATAATGATGTAATAAAAAAATTAATAAAGCATTTCCTATCTTAACAAAAAAATAAACCTGTGATGAGAACAAACATGAGATTATATTTAAACAAGAGACCATACCTAAATAAATACCACCAAGAAGATACTCAAAAATTGGATCCTATCCTACATTCTCTTGTCATATCAGTGACTATAATTTTTATATGCTTATGTTCGTAAATAAGTTACATCTCTTTCGTGCATTAGCTTTTTTTTACTTAAAGAATTTATCGAGTGTTAGTAGTCTTTACTTAGAACCAAAGTTTGAAAAAAAATTTTTAGAAGAGAAATTTTTTAATAAATTTTTTGTAGAAAATTTTTTATAAATATCTTGTAATTTTTAGTCATCACAAATTCTTTAAAGTTCTTTTCTTCTAAAATATATGCTCAAAATATTTTTGAAGATTTTTTCAAACTGATTAAAACCTTATTGATAATCTCAATTAACTCTCTTCAATTGGAAATTAGCCCAACTTCCTGATGAGTGACGTAGACTTTAACCCTTCATACCTTTTTACTCTTATCTTTCATCTCTTCCTATCTAACCTAATAAGCAATGAATTAATATTCAGTCTAATCTACTCTAATGAAAACTTGCTAGATCAATCTTTTATTATATTACAGAACAATGTTCGAGGGTGATAGTTTTTCCTGATATAATAACTCGTAAGAATATTTTTTACCCTTAATTACAAAATCCTATTCCATTTTATCCGCACATTCTATTGAAGCCATCTCCAACCCTTTCAAAAAAATGATTAAAATGGTGGGCATTAATTAGAAGCCGTGTCTAGTAAAAATTTAGGAAACCATTAAACTAATGAACATCTAAGAGTTACCCTATGTCATTGTCTCTGCTTCGACATAGTCCAACCTCATAGTTGCTACCACAGGTATCTGTTAATAGTAAAGTCCAAGGCCATCAACAACGGCATTCGTCAATAAACTTCACAGCTTATTCCTAAAAAGGGCTGGAATCTCTTATGTCTAGAAAACTCGTAACTTTTCATCAAATGATAGCCGATCTGAGGGCCTCACAACTATAAATTTCTCATCTGGGATTATGCTTGCTTTACAACTTTTCACCACAGCTGTTATGTTAATAAATAATAACACACTTGATCAAGCAGAAACAGAAACAGAAATATAAATAAAACAAAACACTAAATAACTTCATTTTTATCCCATTAGTCATTAGGGGCAATTAGCCCTTAACACATTGATTTTTTTAAAACTTTGGCTCATAAAATATGAATCCAAACATTCGAGGCCTAAGAATTTCTTTTTTTAAGACAGAAAGCACAATTAAAAGTTTTCAAAAATTTTTATTGCTCCTTTTAAGGATCTACTTATGTTTTTCTTAATTGAGCACCCCCACACCTTTTATAGCATAATTTTAATTTGATATTTAAAAATTTCAATAAAGAAAACTATAAACTTAATATCACATTAATAGCCACCTTGCTTAATTAATGCTTTTTAAAAATATTATTACAAATTAAGGTAATCTATAAAAAATTTAAGTTTATAATGTTGAAAATTAATTTAGATTTATTTTCTTAATAATAATTTATATTTAGAAAATATTTCTATTCTTAGGGGGGAAATTTATTTTTAATAAATTTTCCTATATTCTTACTTGATGAGTGGGTTTTATTATCAACTACTCGTAATTAAAGATCTGAAAAATAGCAAATGCAATCAGATCTTGCAAAAAAGTCTATGCAGGTAAAATTATTCACTTCCAACCGTGGTTTTTAAATTGGGAATATTTATTTAATTCATCAAGTTATTACTTAGTCGTATAAATTCGCTGATAAAGAGCTTTTGTTTAACTTTGCAGGTTTGAGTAGACGGTTCAAAGAAAAAAAAATTGTCCCAAACTTGATAGGTTAAGTAATTGTATAAAATTGAATGTGGTGCATTATTTGCTTACAAATATATAAGGATTTAACTATATGTAATTAACTGACATAAAACTTGATTAATAACAAGCATTTTTATATAAAATATTTTAAAGAAATATTCAGTGATTCCGCAGAATTTGAAATTAGACTATTGAGGTGTGGGATGTGAGCAATCTAATTACATATTATATATGCAATAAATTTTGAGAGATTGTTGGATTTGATTCATTTGAAATGAACTCTTTATCCCGATTGGTCTTTATTCGGCAATTTTCTATGTAAGTTAGATAGATATATTGAAGTCGACTAAGTTATTTGAGGGAGGCTTACATAGGTATAAAATAATGTTGACGCTTAATCCTGGATATCTCGAAAAAACTTGAAAGAATGTTATTCATTATTTTTGTCGTTAAAAATAAAAGATGTGTAAGATTTTTAAGAGCATTGTATCTTCCTTGATTTTAGCTAGAAAAATTTATATGCTTAATTTACAAGCGTATTTAGCGAGTGTGTTTTCGATATGTAGTTAACTTTGAACTCTATAAGATCTTCATTACACCCTACAAGTTAAAATAATATTATAACCTAAATTTGTTATGATTTGAGTATTATCCTAAATATAAATTAAAAAATTTGATGAAAAATATTTCAATATATTCGGAGCCAACGCCGATTTTAATGTCAGCATGAAATTCGGTACGCCCCACCAGTTTATAGTTAAAAAAACGCAGTCACTGTTGGCGCACTGGTTATATTGTATAGATAAATTGTAAATGTAACGTACACAACTTAAGCAATTTACCTGTGGATTCATTGATGACCACAAGCTTCCATGGCTTCGAAAATCTATAAGGATGAGGAAGAATATTATGACCGTCTTCAGCTTGAGCAAAATAATCGTAAACTATAGAATATCTAAAAATAAATATTTTAGTTAAAAAATATTAACTTTTCTCGATAATTAATTTTTATTTGAAGTAAAAAAAATTTATAAATTTTTATTAAGAGAATAAATTAACTGTTATTGAAAGAAATACCTTATGTTTTGATCCGGCCCTGATGCTGATAAATCGAGATCTTGGGCTGACACTTTAATAATAGTGTCATCTAATTTATCAAAAAAGATTCGTAATTTTAAAATTTTCTTCGAGTTATAACTTAAAAGCTCTTGCGAATTCAACGTTTTGGCATCCTTCATCGACCCGGGAGCTTCTATTACCCTCTTGAAGTGAGGAAAAAAATTATTGGAACCCGTTGATTCCTCTATCTTAATTGCGACGCGCCTGTATCTAAAGGCGATAAGGGCCTCGTCCACAAAGACATTTTGATCATGACGTAACATTTTTAAGTTAGGGGCATAGGTATATCCACACACCAATTCTTGCCTTACGGTTATATGCCATTCGACTTTAGGGGGTAACTGGGGTTTCATCGGATCTTTGATTAACATGATCTCACCGGTAAACGGGTCGATTCTAAAAAATGAGTGTTCGCTGAACGAATCCGTTGATTTGTGTCTTAGGTGTCTCACGTTTAAATAGTAACTGGATGTGGAAGAAGATTGATTGAAGGCAAAACTCAAAGGGGGATCCATTACTCGATAACGAATTTTGCATTTATCGTTAGAATCCAGAAAGAAAGGGTCTGGAGGGGTTAGATGGGACCTGAATCGTAATGCCAACTTTATCGAAGGGAAGATTTGAAGCGGAATAAGAGAACCGACTAGGGTATGGATTGGGTCATCGTAGCGGATTGAAAATGTTGTAGCCGTTTTATTCCATATCGATGAGTCAAAACTCAAACTGTTTGAAATGTTGAAGAGAAAAGCGTTGATATTTACCAATTGAACAAGCACGCGGGCTTTAGCTAGTATTACTGGTGTCGATGAATTAATTCCTCCTTCTCTGACCAGGGCTATAGTCAAGCTCAAGCTATTCAAAACATCTGCTAAAACGTTTTCATATAATCCAACCAGCCTGGAAATTTCTTGTGCGCTAACAACTTGGACAGATGAGATAAATAGTCGATCCCTCAAATGGGACATTGCCATAAAAACGAGTCCAGAAATGGGATCGATGTCTAAATACTTGTTATCAATAGATAGTTTCAAGAAACGAAACCTGCCTAATGGCGAATTTATCATACGCCCATTATTTACCTTCACCATGCCTAGCGATAATCTATTTTGAGAAGTATCACCGGTAGCTTTCATTACATCGTTCATTTGTAAAGCAAAGCGGAACACGGAGACTGGCAACCCTCGATCTATAAAAATGGGCCCATTGAAATTCAACGAATAGTAAATATCCTCGAACAACAACGTTATATTCACTTCGAATGTTATCAAACGACAAAATTTAGGATTAATATCGTGGCGATTTGTTTTGTAAACGCTTATTGCTATGGTAAAGCTGACGCTTTTTCCTATTTGGTCCTGGGGATTGGACGAGATATATATTCGAGTTGAGTCGAAAGGGTCAAGCCCCAAAAATTCCGGAACAGGTCTGGACACGAACATTACAGACGCGAACCCGCCGAGCGATTCTGATATGATTTGCGATGCTTGGACTAATTTCCAAGTTTCGTTCTGTGTACAACGAAAATCCAACATAGATCGCGGAAAAGAGAAAACAGTAGAGCCGATAGATCGATCAGTTACATTAACTAATAATGGTAAAGGGCTTGCTGTATTTGAGAGGATTGTTTGGAAGTCATATAAGAGATCAGTCAGGTAATTTAAGTGGCTTAGCTCAGGCCCAGTCTCATTTAAATTATAATAGTGAACTAATTCTGGAAGCTCTGGCCCACCATATTTGGGTGTCATAAATTTTTGGACCTGTTCCAATGGGTGAAAGTAGAGCAACAATCGCAATTTATGAATAACTTTTCGGTCGTAAAAACTAACAACCAAAACGTTAATCAATCTTTCGAAGATAACGACGACGCTGGAGTTCCTATCGCCAAAACATTGGGAGGTGTTGACTCCATCTTTTGAATAAAGTGATCCTTCTTCAATGTCCAGATCAAAACAATTGTAGTCATTTGGATCAGACATGAAGAAAAGATATCTTGAAAGCCGTTGCAAGAGCGTTTTGTGATAAAGGTCGTTTATTGGCCCGTTGTGGGTAAAATTTCTCGTTCCAGGCATGTTACGCTTAGAATAAACTAGGCTCCAACCTAGGTAAGGTAAAACGATGGCGTACATGTCAATAATTACCCCTCTTCGTTTAATGGAGTCCCCTAAGTGTACATCAATATTGCGGCTAATTAAGTCTTTCGAGTGGGGTCGTAGGGGGAATTTATTATTTTCTCTATTATTAAATTCAAGGCAGGGTCGTTCGTAAATAACTTTGATATCTAGTAACTTGTAACTAATTGAAGATAGTTTGTGTTTAGATACGGTGGCACGATCAATGACCTGGACCAAAAGTAAGAAAGAAATGTTACAGAAGGTAGAAAATTCACTTCTCCCTAAAATTCTTAAGTTTGTGACATTCACTCGAACTTGACCGGTAAAGGAATCGACGAAAAAAATGCTATCACCTTGGCCTAGTGATCGATTATTATCATTATTTGTGAAAGAATCGTTGATTTTAACCGAAGATTTGGTTGCGATTAAAAAGGAGTCAAAAAGATACCGACCATTTGAGGAATCGTCGATGGAGTTAATACCTTGCGAAAGGGTGAGATTGTTGATTTCCATGAAAGAAGTGGAAACGTTGTCGACGTTAGCATCGAATACTTTGAAAGTTATGCGCTGGTAAGGTTCATTAGCGTAGATAAAGATGTCGATTTCAAGCTTGGTAGGTAAATATTTATATAGAAAAGATGGAATTGATATAGTAATTTTATGCACAATAAATATATTCTTTAAAGTTAAAAGATTAAAGTATTATTCAAAAAAATAAGAGACTATTAGAGACTTTTAAAAAAAATAGTTCATACAATCTTCATACATTCAGGTTATATTTAAAATGGAAATGAATTAAAAAATATGTTGAACTCATTGAATGAAACGTTAACATTAAGTTAAGCATTTATTATCATAAAATATTAGTTTTAAAATATTCCCTTAAAGGTGAGAGTGAATTATTTAAAAAGGCCTTTTTGTTACTTTTATCACTATGATACCCCCCTTCTCCCCCATCTTTTACACAATATTTGAAACTATTTAAGAAGTATACCTAATACGGAAATAACTGATCATAAAAAATGTTATTTTTTTGTAGCATAGATTCTAGCATTACTTGTGGCACAACTATCCGAACCGGTATCATGTTTACGCTGTTAGAGTTGACAAGCTTGGTAAGGCCATTGAGGAAGTAAAATTCATAAAATCTGTGTAATAAACGACATTCCACGTTAGAGACGACGTGCTTGACAAAGGCCACTTCGACGTTCAAATCGTAAAACTGGTTTGATTTACCGAGTACAGTTGAATAACCGGTTCTGAATAATGGGAAGACGACGTCTCGAGACCGTGATCGGAAGGTGGGGCCTTTCAATCGAATAATTCCGACATCGTGATCGATTTCGAATAGACCATCCGTGTTTCCAGTAATGAGGCGGTATTTGAAAAAACCACATTCTGCATATGAAAATTTTATAAAAAAAAATATTTAAGGATGAAGAATGAAATAAATATGAAGTATATGAGCTCAGATTTTGAAAGGAGATTTAAGATAAAAATATTAATAAGGTTATTTTCCGTTGGCACTAAAGTGTTTAAAATCGCATGTCTCTTAAGAAAGAGGCCATAAGAAATTATGCTTTTATAATATAAAATCTGATTTGACATTTAAAACTAATATTACTCAGTGCTAATACCAATAGCTGATAAATCAGTCCAATAGTAATGATATATTGGTAAAAGCAATACCAATACTAATATTATTCAATAAATTTTTGGCTTTATTTCGTGAAGACAAATGTCTACAATAAGGAAACCTAAAGATTAGTGTTGTTAAAAAGCCCGATCTGGGTGAATTTTTCAAACTGATTAAGATCTTACCTAAAATATTTGGCAAATAGATGTCCAAGAATTTCTGCCAGCTATGAGCAAACTCTTTAGGCTTATATGATGTTATTTTTGTCATAATCAGGTTAATCTTTAAATATACTGCTTATTATTAAAAAAAAATTTCAAAATTTGAAGATATCATTATTCATATCCTCTATGGGGTGCTGAAAAATAAACTGTTATTAAATTATTTTTTACAGGTTATCTGTTTACAATTAGTTGGACTTTAATAGATCATCACTAAATTCTAAAATTTACTATGTTATAGTAAACAATTGCATAAAAACTTGTACGGTGTGTAATGAAAACTCGGACATAATATTTATTTCAAATATTATTATTTTTAATAAAAAAAAATTATAACAAAATTTTTTTAAAAATAAGGTATAAATATCTCTAAAATAGTATCAATATACAAATAATTCTATAAAAGTGTATCTTGATACAGATAGCACATTATCTAGATACTTTAACTTGAACTTTTATTTTACTTAAACATTTTTTATTTTATTTTGGTTTTTCTTTTAATATTTTCTATTCTAATTTTTATAGAAATTTTTAAGTAGTTTTATTTCATAAATTATTTTCTTTCGATATATATATATATATAAGATTTTATTAAAAGTATTTTATTCTAATTTCGTTTAAATCCTTTTATTTTTTTTATTAACAACCTGAGCGAAGTAAATGACTTTGATTGATATTTTTTATTAACAATTGGTAGTCATAGATCACTTATATATTTTGAAAGTAACTTATTTTAAGAGGTCTGAATTAATGTTTCTCGTATTTATTTCCTAAATGTAGTACATAGAATAAACATATTTCCAAGGGTGCTTGGGAGAAGGCACCACTGTTTGCATAACGGTCACCCTTTTCCCACTTTTGATTATATTTTTAACATTTCACATGCATGGTACACACGAATTTTATACAAACTTTACGATTTTTTCTACGTTTAATCACTAATAGATATGCTCTAAGGGTATTTCTCTGTATTTTAAGATTTGACCCGTGCTTTAAAAATGTCTATTATCTTTTTGATCATTATTTTTAAAGTTCACGAGAGCTACAGGTAAGATTTTAAGAGAGGTGAAGTTTTGACTATCGATTTTAATATATTTCTCAAGAAATTATTTAAACTAAATCTTACCAAATATTTTTATACCCTCATTTGATTTGTCAGCTTTCAAAATTCATATACTATTAGTATTTTTAGTAAATTTATTAAATTCGTTTACGTATATGTGCAATTTAAGTGATTAATTTTTAATAATAAATAGGACGAGCACCAGTATAAAATAAGATAATTCCTTTAAAAAAAATCAAGGAAACGGTATTACCGATTCGGATAGTTTCCACATTATAAAAAATGTTCTAAAATAATTTAGAGAACGACAGAAAAATCAATACATCTCTAATCACTTCTTTCTTTATCATTTGTTTTTTTTAAATGGGAATTTACTAAAAAGAAAAAAACAAATACCTTATGATTAGGGATGTACCAATATGTTTCATCGGATCAGATCGGGCCGATATTTCACACATTTTAAAATGTCGGTTATCGACAAATATTATAAAATCGAAATTCATTTTTATGTTTAATTTTTTAATAATAATAATTAATTAATAAACATTCTGCCATATTATTATTTTTTGCGCATTCTGTTTATAAAAGTGTGCGATAATCTCTTCAGAATCTGTTTTTAGTGAAATTGAAAGTCCCCATCGGTGCAGACTGACATCTGATAAATTGGAAATTTTGCTAAAAAGAAATCTTAGATATATTAATTTTAAAATTTATTTCAAATTTCATAATATATTTGTTTATTACTTATTATGTTAATAGATTAATGTTATTACTTATTATATAAATAAGTGATTTATCAATAAAAATATTTTATATACTTTTAGAATTGCAATTGAATTAATATAAACTAAAACTGATCATTATAACATATTTAAATGACATATGTTATGGTATAGTTAAATTATCATTAAAACCATTGGTATCTTTACAGGATATAACATTAGAATGATATCGGATAGGTAATCGGCCGATATTAATTTAATATCGGGAATATCGGATCGGCCTCCAAAAAGTGGTAACGGTACACCCCTACTTATGATGTAAAAAAAAATAGAGCAAATATATATGAGTCGGCCTCCAAAAAGTGGTAACGGTACACCCCTACTTATGATGTAAAAAAAAATATAGCAAATATATATGAGAACCGGAAATCGCGTTCAAACAGAACCATGTAAGGCTAAAATATTATATTATAAAATGTCCCTAAACATTTAATAGTATTTCTATTTTCAATAAAAAAAAATTATTATTAAAAGTAAAAAGAAATAGCTTTTAAGTACCGGCATAAAATGTAAGTCTCATTAAAAAAATAATTAAATTAACATATTGTATTTTAAAAACTATAAGTCGAATTAAGGCAACTTTTAAATAGAAACCGTTGCAAAATCTAATTTTTTAAACAAATTGGCTATAATATTTAAAAAATATATATTATTAAGAAAAACTTTTCAAGCTCCGCGCCTGTTTAGTCGTGTGGAGCTCAACGATAGGCGTATTGAAAGGTGTAAACTCATTGAGTTCAATGGGAGTAAGGGCCTCAAAGCTGAGAGTCAATGATTTTTTCAAAAATGCCTGAAATTTTTTTGATATAGGATTTATATATAATCAATTAATAAATAAAATAATTTCTTGTTGAAAAAAAAACAACTTTTTTAATATATAAATTGACATCAAAATAAACCCATCCTACCCCCAAAATTAAATACATTTGGAGTAAGATTAGATTATTTATTTTTAAATTCCAAAAAAAAAGAAGTAATAACCTGATATTGTGTCAACGTCAGAGTGGCATCGTGGCTGGAATATGATTCTTCTCCTTGGCTCGTCACGATTTTGAGCCGGACATGAAAATTATTCTCGAACGGTACAAATTCGTTTGATGGCCGAGATACTCTTGATGACGTTACCAGAAGTGCTAATCTCTTATAATTCAATATGAGTTGATAAGATCGGTTTTTCGACTCTATCGATTCGTCACTATATTCGTTATCGAAGTCGCTATTTGGAATCTCTTTAAGTTCGAAAAAGGCGGATCCGTTATGGGTTAAATTTAAACTGACTGATATAATATCACAGGCTGAAGTTTGAGCAGGGTTAGGTCGAATTCTAATTACCGCTAAAACCCGGTCTAAAAAAAAAGAATCAGCATTCAAGTGATCGACTGAAAGGTGATAGTGGTCGGATTTGGATAGCTCCCCGGCGCTGTATTCTAAGACATCCATGAGCGGATCAAAGGACTTTGTTATGTCGGTCTTTTTTATTTTTGGAAATTTTTCGTATAAATTATGTGGCATTTTTTGCAGCGAGAAATATTTCGTTGCATTATTAAGAGGAGTTAGTGAGGTATAATTAAGTATTACGTTAAATTATTGAAAAATGAAGGTGCATATATTATATTTAATTGCCTGGCTTATATACAAAAAAATTTTTTGCCAGACCATAATTTGTATGTTTTTTGAGCAATTTATCCAACTACATAATTATTATTGTAAACGAAAATCATTATAGTTTTCAAATAATACTAAATTTCAAATTATAAAAAGACGACAAAGGGCACTTTTTTATTGGGCAGTAACATAAATCAAAATGTGCAGTATTTATAAATGAGCAGGAGAAAAAATAGTAGGTATTTTCAATTTTTAGGTAGTTAATATTTACGAAAAAAAGCTATATTTTATTTTTAGGTTGGTCATCCCCATTAAACATATATAGTGTAATTAAGATATAATTACAAAAAAGAACTATTATTTATTCAAGTTTTTTTATTGATTCTGACAGCATTAAAAATAAATAGGTAATTTTAAAATAATTTAGCATGTATTTTAAATTTTTGGTCAGTTAATAAATAATTTCCTAGTTTTTTATTTACTTGAGGAGTTTTAATTTTTACATTATTTATTTTAGATGTAATTTAGTAAAAAAAAATTTAAAAAAGAGGAAAGCAATGTCCTGCAAAAATTTATATTCTTTATATGATAATGTAACATTTTACTAGTGCTGTAAACATTTCTAAAAAATCGAACGCGTTCAAATTTAATATCAAAAAAAAGAAACGTTCAAAATTTTATGATAAATTTTTATTTAAATTTAATCTAATATAAATAAATGTCATATTTTTTTAATATATTAGCCATGTTAAATAATAATAGTTTTATTTTGATAATATAATTTATGAAAATTCTCAGTCGGAGATGAATGTCAACCACCAGCCTCCCATAAACAAAATGGGATAATCGATCATGCCCTATTAGCTTCCCTCAACCAAGGTTGAGGACATGAATACTTGGATGTCATCCCCTCTAAAAATCTTGATCTCGAACTTTCAAATCATTAATTCAGTTTTGCTGTAGCCATTCGCTTAAATGTGACAGCCTCAGTTTCATATAAGTGCGCCAAGTGCAAAAAGCCAGTAAGTCAAACTGGTCGTCATTACCTCCAAAGCGTCTTTAGCATTGGACGCTCCGGCATGACAGTTGCAATGCTCTCATAAAACGAGCTTGAGGAGTCTGATTAATCTAGATTTTCTTCTTCTTCCCTAAATTATTTAGAATCCCCTCCCTTCCCCTCTTCTTTCTCATATAATCATTTGCATTAATTATATTTCCATTATATTTATTATTATACTTTGTATTATGAAGTCGTTGTTTGTTAAATTTCTTGAATTTTCTAGAATTATGTTTTGGATATCATTTTATTTTTATATTTAACCCTTCAATACTCCGGTGGGGGAATATGAGACCCCAGACTTGCTAGAATTGATATAATATGATCTGGAATCTTCAGTAGCTTCATCAAATATATCTTATATATTTAAATTTCATATATTTTGGCTGAATAGTTTTTAAGAATAAACATTTTGTGACTGATTGGAGTTTGTGAGACCCCACCAGAGTAAATACGTATTTTTTTTATTTTTTAATAATTATCTCATTTTTCAAATTATTTTTATCATTTATTATGATTTTCACATATTCTGAAAGTAAATATAATAAAATTATTTAAAATGTAATATCATTTTTCATATAAAGTTGGATGTGAAAAAATAACATTATTATCATATCCAAAGAAAGAAAAGGGTGTTATAAGGCTATCAACTTTCCACCATAATAAAAATGTTGATACAAATGATAAAAGCAAGCCTAAAATTATAACATTTTATAATATGACTAAAGGTAGGTTAGATATGGTGTATTGAATGACAAAAAATGATACAATTTTAAGCAGATCTTACACACTTCTAAACATAATATCAATTAATTCACATCATATAGCAAACACAAAAATATCCATACAAGAAGTAATTTCATATATAAAATGTCAATTGAACTTATTAAGCCATATTTAGAAGTACAGCAAAAATTATCAGATTGTCCTGACTTTTGAAGGAATCCATATGCAAGATATTAGGTAAAGTTCAAAATATAAATCTTATTCACTCAAGAGGAAGGTGCAGTATGTGTCCTAGAGATAAAGATGAGAAAACAAAATATTTTTGAGAAATATGGGGAAAAAAATAATGTTTGGATCATATTAATACTTTATGTGATAAGTCAAAATTAACATATTTCAATGTCCTAATTTTTTATATGTTTGCATGTATATTAATGTAAATCTTGTTTTATATTGACGAATAAATATCATAATAATGAATTATAATGATGATATGATAGATAAATTATTTTTTCAATTTAATTTAATAAAAGTAAACTATTTTTAGAAAATTTTGGCACAAATTATAATTATCCTCATTATTTTTAATCTAAGCTTAATAAATTAAAATAAATATTTTATCAAGTTTAAGGTTTGATCTATCTTATATCCAAATATTAAATCAAAATATTAAATACAAAAGGAGGTATATACATTCGAAATTGGGGTCTATTAAACCCCACCAGAGTACTAACGTCATTTTTTTATTGAAGGGTTAAAATAGGTTATAATTATTTATTTTCAATAAATTTATATGGCAAAAACGCGATCTACAGGGGCAGATGAAGGGATTATATTACATTTAATAAGCTAAAGTGGGGAATTTATAAAAACATTTATTGTTTTGCTCTTTGTTTCAAAAAATTGAGATATGTTATCCTCCTCTAATCCTTCCTCTACTTCCTCGTCAAAAAAAAGGATAACTCGAAATTAAAAGATCTTGCATTATCATTTCTAGGATTTCCATTGATTTTTTTTCAATAACGTTATAACACTGCCGGGTTCTCTTGAATAATGTATGTCACAATCGTGTCAATTCAAAAGTATATCGTAAATTGATATATCCCAAGGTATATTAATAAGTTTAAAGGAAAATAGAGTGAGAATAATTTATTTTTGAATTTGTTAGTCTCAAGAAAATGATTAAATATTTTGAACAACTTATTGGAAAATTTTACGTTTATAACGATTCGGAGTTTATTAGACTCCGGTGTATATTTATAAAAATATAAAGTGTCATTATTATTACTAATATGAAATATTATAAAAATCATTAATAAATAATGAAAACCAAACCAGAATTAATATACAAAATTCCAAAATTGGTTGGACCACTCACTGAGAACTTAGACAGAATATTAAGTTATTTTTCGACCAGCACATTACCGGACTCTATTAAAATAAATACTTTACTTAATAATTTATCTGATGATGTGTTTGATAATATTAAATCAATTTGCTCTGATACCGATATTAGATCTTAAGATAGTGATTAAGAAATTAACTTACCTTTTACCTGTACAAGATAAAAAATATTTTAATAAACAAATTCAACTTATTACAGCAGAATTCGCGTGAGAATTTCATGCAATGGTACATAAGAGTATTAAAACTGCATAAAAAATGTAACTTTTCAGACGACAATTGATTATAAGAAAAATTACGTGCGTCTACCTTAAATGACAAAATAAAATATAAATTTTGTAAAAATATTAATTTAACCTTAAATGAAATGGTGGAGCTAGGAATTAGATTAGATAGTATTAATGATAAATCAGATATTGATAATATAAGTTATATGAATAATGATAAAAAGTCTGATAAAGATAAAAACCTTAACAATAGAAATAGAAATGACAATAATAATTATTTTAGACCTGATAATAATTTTAGAAATAATTATGAAAATAGAGATAATAATAGAAATAGAGATAGGAATTATAACAATAATTTTAGATAGTATGATAGGAATTACGGTAATAATAATTCGAGATGCCAAGATAATTATAATAACTATAACTACAACAACTATCGCTACAACAATATTAATCAATCTAATTATGGTAGAAATAATACATGGCATGATAATAATCAAAGAAAACAGATCCAATATGGTGACGGAAATCGTAACATTTACCAAACAACAATTCAATTAATTATAGAGATAGCGACAATAATCAGAGAAAGCAAATACAATATAACAACAATTCAAATAATTATAGAGGTAGCGACAACAATAATAGAAAGCAAATACAATATAACAACAACGATTACAATATGTATATTGAAGAAATTATTGAAGAGAAAGTCAAAGATGATAACGATTTCAATGTTAACAACTTATCTGGGGACATGCTTAATGACAAAGATAATGCATTTATGACTACTTTAAAAGTGAACGATATTGTTACGAGTATGCAAGTCGATACAGGCTCCAAACCTACTATTATACCTCATGGACTGGCTAAAAAACTTGGTATTAGAGATGTTAAAAAATCCGAGTTACAACTTACCGCTTATGACGGAAATTTAATCAAGATCATCGTCATTACTCAAGTTAAAGTGACTTATGAAGGTATCTCTAAATACTTAGACGCGGTAGTCGTTGAATCAAGAAAAAATGCCTTGTTGGGACGTACATGGATCAACGCTTTCAAAAATATTTTAAATAAATTTATAGCTAATGTTGACACTAATTATGAAGATGAAATAAAAAAATTGATTAAAGAGTGTGAATCCAAATTGACTAATGGGCCAATCAACAAGTGTCAAGTTACATTTAAAAAGAAATGTCCAACCTAAAATTAAACCGCTAGACGTATTCCTTATTCAAAAATTGATCTTGTAAGTAGACCTGTGCGCCGCCGGCAATTTTATTCACGCCGGAACAGCCGCCGATTGAGATCAGCGGCGTAAGCCGGCTAGCCGCCGATTTTTTTATGGCGGAGGCGCGGCGTGTATAATATTTAGAATGTTGTTTAATTATATTTATATATTAAATTATTATTATTTAAATTTGAATATTAACATTAATATAATAAAA